CGAGTGACTAATATGAACTACTGCATTTGATTGGTGCCTTTAAATCAATTATTTTGACAATCACACAAACCCTTCCACCTTTATATATGATTAGCTATACCCGTTGCAACCACGTTTGCAACCAAAAGATCCAATATGGAATGTAGATTTCACTGGCATGTGACATGCCATAAACACTGTGTGTACACTTAAGCAAAACTTGTGATCAGCTTGTTTAGGTCATTGCTTATCAACGATAGGAGATCCGCCCATGACACTCCCCCATGCAAGACCTTTCCAATAAGGTATAAATCATGCCTCTACGTCAATCTGTTGCGTTATTGGCAGACACACAGACCCACAGAAAGACATTTCGTCTTTATTAGTACAGAAGAAGACTAATTCACTAATGCATGTTGTACTACCGGTTCAAAACCAGTCTGTCTAATTCGTCCAGTATCCTTACACGTATCTCCTCTTCATCGGTCACCTGGTCACATAGCTTATCAATAGCAAATATTAAAATATCACATGTACATTTTCTTAATAGTGTGAGCCGCAGGGGACATGAATAATGAGCTGCAGAACACCCATCAGACAGAGTTTTCTGTTATTATTCTGTTATTTGCACCATTGATAAAAGTAAGATTTGCTTTCAGACGTCAACTTTTGTACTCATCAATATGAAGGTTATGAAGTGGATTCCTTTCATTCACCATAAACACTCCCAGGTCAGATGAAAAACTAAAACTTCCTCAACTCAGCAAGACAGAACTCAGAAGAACTCCCTCACAGCTCTGTTTCCATTTCTCACTCAAGGTTGAAATTTCAAATCACCAACTTGCCAGAGACTTTCAGCTCCTCTCCAGTGCACCAAAGCCAGAAGCATCACCCAGAGCTGCACCCAGAGGTATCACAAGAGAGTCCATGAATCATATTTAATGTTTCAAAAACAACTTCTAACTAATTATTTCTAAATGTTTAAAAGCTCCGTCACAACCAAAACAATTGCTGCCTCGGTGCACTTTATAGTTTATATTATATTCTATGAAGTGCTTTGAGATGTTTTGACGTGACGAAGCGCTATATAAAACACTAGGATGATAATAATTGAGAGGCTTAATAATAATAATCCTTGCCTTTGGTATAGCACCTTATCACGTCGGAAGGACGTCTCAAAGTGTTTTGAATAGTGCAAGTGATCTTTAACAGCCATGTGAACAGCCAGACCGGACCTCTCGTCCAAACATCTCATCCGTAGAACAGCACCTCCGACAATGCAACATCCCCCCCCCATCATTGCATTGGAGTGTCATCTTAGACTATGCAAATTCAAGTCCCAATGCGGGACTTTAACCCACAGCCTTCTGACTCAGAGGTGAGAGTGTTCCACTGAGCCAGGTTGACACACAAATACACGCTTTTCAAAGAGAGACAGTCTCCTGGAGGAGGACTGGTCAGACAAGCTTTGCACTTCACACTTTATACTGTGCTGCTTCAGAACCACAGCCAAGAATAGACTCACATCTGAATAACATGAAAGGACGCTCTTCTCACTCTTTGCAGTTTATTTTTAACCATAGTGGTTACAGGATATGATCCAATGACAGATTATAAAACAATTGAACAAAACAACACTCCAGGAGAACACAGAGCTGCTGCAGATTCCAAATGTAAACCACCATCTTCCTGAATACAGGATCACCCTGCAGCACAGTCTCTTATAAACATCTCAAACATTGTTCATTAGCCCTGCGGCCTTTGATGAGACATTACTGAAGTCATCGGCTCCACTTCTTCCTGCCTGGATGGTCTCAACGGGAATGGCTAAGTAGCTTTAACACAAGGGATTTCAGATGGGACAGCCCATAAAAGTGTGACACATAGGACAACTCTGCTATAAGGTGTCTCAAAATAGCACAGGACTGCCTTTAGTGTATTTGCACAGTGGATCTGCAATACACTTTCGGCTTCTAGTACTGACTGGCCATCTTCCTGCGCATGCATACCATACAGGAAGGGTCATAAGCAGGGCTTCCCTGCATAAGGCACTAACCGGTGAACATTTGTATAGCGTAATGCATTACAATGTAGGGTCCAAATTTACAAATCCAAATTTGTCTGTGTATCAATCAAGGAAGACACTAAACCCAGCATATGTTCAAAAACACGTACTCTACGTAACGTCTTACAGCAGCTGTCACCTGAAGCTTCAATTTCCTCAGAAGAATGTGTTTGGACACACGTTTACGTGCCACAAGCTTAACCTGCAAAGGAACTTTGCTGAAGAGAAATGAAAAACCGAGCGTCTTTTGCCCCTTCTAAACCTAACCCTGCTGATCATTGTCCAAGCAAAAGTTTGTATTCATCACCACCGATACCAATGTTCTCCATGGCGCTGTTGCCCTCATCCAGTACTGATATGGCCTGTCCAGAGATTCAATGGAATTGTTCATGAAGAACAGCAGAACAAAAAAAAGCACTGCATTTCAGGGTGTGGATTCATGACTAAAATTGACTAATACCCACCCTGTACTGAAACTATTAGATGATCCATTTAAGTCGGACGGCCCAACCAACCCAACAACGAGCTGCTACTCCAATGTCAAATTTCAAAACTATCTGATGAACACCCAACCTTCTGCATTTGGCATTCCTTCCCCCATAACCAATGAACATAAGCAACCCGGTCACACCGGGTATGACCTGGGACTGCTAGAATCCTCCAGCACAAAAATTAATTAGCCATTTTGGGTCAGAATACCCTCTGTACTACTGTGTGTAATTCACTAAGATGACACCCCCTTATCAACCCCAAAGCACACCCCTTGCCCACAACACAGTTACTTTGGATAGATTTACTATTGAATGTACTATACTAGGTTTCTGCACTCTACTTTTACACATCAAATAGAGTTCAGAGCCTGGAGAACACATCATCACATTGCTAAGCCACTTGTGAAATGACATGTGCTCATAAGCAGAGAGAGATTTTTTTTGTCCCTCTTTACTTTTAGCCAAATATCATACCATTGCATAAATTCCAACCCTTAAACCACTGACCTGAAACTGCTGTTTAAATAAAGTGTCTCACACAAAAAACACTAACACATACATCACACACAAAATACATATGCAGAAATTTGAATCTCATGTAAATTAAAGGGTAATAATAATAATCCTTGCATTTGATATAGCAGTTTTCACATCTTCTAGACGTCTCAAAGCGCTTCACAGAATATGCTGTAAAGTGAATTGACCGTATTTTATTTTGTATATGTAAACAAGTGTACATTACATCACTAGAGCTAAAGAGAACAATATTTAATAAACTATCAACATTTAATAACGTTTAATGTTACTTTCGACTCTGCCTGCAACTTAAGCAATGCCCACTGTGCCAGCAATGGCCAGATCTACATAGAGAAGGATGATGTCTCACTAGTTCAATAAAAGTCATCCATTAGGTTCCAATGTGGTAACATGGAGATGGGAGCCAATAGACTTCGTCCCTTCCTATACTGTTATAGGATTGTTAACTACCTCAAAATCAAGCAGCCTGCAAATAACAGGATAGAAGTTTCTAGTCTTATTTAGGTTATGAGTACCAATAAATTTGAGAGAAAATATTGCATTTAGGTCAATATACTTTTGTGTGTTCTGTACTCTCAACGCATTGTCTCATATTTCTTGCACCACTCCCAGCAGTGAATAGCTTGTTACCTCATCTACAAAGCCACAGGTTCACTCCTCAGACACAAATATCTGTGATTGCACTTAAAAAAACATTAACGTTATTATATTATTATTATTATTATATAAATTGTTTGCGCATAAGGGGGCATTTGGCCCATGTGCCACTGCTCCTTATTTTGATAGGTCACTCCTTTCCATCATTAATCCCGTTTACTATCAACATTCTTGCTCTTTCCCCATAATCACCTAATGGTCCACTCCACGGTTGGCTTGTCCCAGTAGCCTTGAGATTGCATCGATCCGATCTCAATAGTACTGAGTGATGTGTGTGTTAGAATTCAGGGGGGGGGGGGGCAGAGCGTCACTCGTTTACACCACCATACTTGATGAAAACCACAGTGAAAACACCAGACAGAGGTCCATCCTCGCCCCCCACCCCTCCACCATCTGAACCACCAGTTTATTGATGGGAACAATTTAGGACCATCCGACCGACAACAGCTAACGGAACATGCGTTAGTTACACACCAGGCCACTAACTATCTGCAGGATGAGTGCACAGATAACACTGTACGTGCGGAGAGGAGTTGAAGTACATTAGTAACAGTCAACAACCACCACCACCACCTCCTCCTCCTCCCGGATTCTCTTTCCACTGATTCATTCGGGTGGAAATTTCAAGAGCGTGTGTTTCCCACTGCCGTGTCCCCAACCCACGCAGAGCCTAAAACCCGGGGGCTCCCGCCCCTCTGAGACATCACACCCGGCGACCACGAAGTGGCATTTTTTTTTAAATTAAAAATAAAATAAAATTTTATTTTTTTAAATTTTTTTTTTAAAAATTTTTTTTTAAAAAAAAAGCAATTTCGAATGAAACGGAACGAAATGCAATGTAACGTAATGCAATGCGCGGTACATCGAGAGAGAGAGAGAGAGAGATGCGAGGGGGTGGGTGGGGGGGGGGAGGGCAGGTGTGAATCTTTGTCTGAGTCCGAGATTCGGGGGCAAGAAATTTTTTTTTGGTGGGGGGGGGGAGAGAGGGGAGGGGGAGGGAGAGGGGGGGGGAGAGGGGAGGGGGGGAGAGGAGAGGGGGGGGAGAGAGAGGGGAGGGAGAGGGGGGGGAGAGGGGGGGGGGAGAGAGAGGGGGGGGGAGAGAGAGGGGGGGGAGAGGAGAGAGGGGGGGGGGGAGGAGAGGGGGGGGAGAGGAGGGGGGGAGAGAGGGGGGGGGAGGGAGAGGGGAACAAACAAGGAGCTCATCCCAGCGACCCGAAAGTGACGGTGAACACCAGGGGCGAATAGGCCCCCGTGTGGGTTGGGGTTCCCACCTGCTCGGCTCCATAGCTGTTGGCGATCTCGATGAAATCCTCCATCCGCATGAGGCCCTCCCCGGCCGAATCGAACATGTCAAACACCTGCCGCAGCCCCGCGCAGTGCTCCAGGCTGGAGCCCGCCACCGTCGTCCCCCCCGCCGCCGCCGCCGTCACCGCCGTCTTCTCCTCCTCCTCCTCCTCGCGGCCCGGCTCCATGGGGAGGCGGGCTCGGTCTCGGCTCTTTCGAGGGCGGCTCTTCTCACTGAGGGTCGTCGCGCTCCATCACCCACACGGCGCTGTCCGGCCTGGGCCTCACGTCTCACTCCAACACTGCCTCCGCAGCCTTAGAAACAGGCATAGCAACCACCCGCGCCGCACTGCGCCTGCGCCACTGCCGAGTGAGTGAGTGAGTGAGTGAGCGAGCCTGGGCCACGCCCACTGCCGACCCCCCCACACTGTGCCTGGGCCACGCCCACTGCCGACGCCCCCCACTGTACCTGGGCCACGCCCACTGCCGACCCCCCCCCCACTGTGCCTGGGCCACGCCCACTGCCGACCCCCCCCACTGTGCCTGGGCCACGCCCACTGCCGACCCCCCCCACTGTACCTGGGCCACGCCCACTGCCGACCCCCCCCCACTGTGCCTGGGCCACGCCCACTGCCGAGCGCCCCCCTACTGTACCTGGGCCACGCCCACTGCCGAGTGCCCCCCCCACTGTACCTGGGCCACGCCCACTGCCGAGCGCCCCCCACTGTACCTGGGCCACGCCCACTACCGAGCACCCCCCCACTGTACCTGAACCACGCCCACTGCCGAGCGCCCCCCTCACTGTGCCTGGGCCACGCCCACTGCCGAGCGCCCCCCCTCACTGTACCTGAACCACGCCCACTGCCGAGCGCCCCCCTCACTGTGCCTGGGCCACGCCCACTGCCGAGCGCCCCCCCTCACTGTGCCTGGGCCACGCCCACTGCCGAGTGCCCCCCACCCCACCCACTGCGCATGTGCAACAGCCCAGCTCCACAAGCTGCTGACATGTCCGGTTTGCAGGTCGCTGTGGTCCACAGAGCAGCCACGGGGCATCTTTTTAAGGGTCGCTTTCTCCGGCACTCATCGCTCCACCGGAGAGCGCATCACTCAGTCTGGCCCGCACCGTGTTTCCACCGCCCATTTGGGGGGGGGGGACATTGCACCAGAGCGATATTGCGGGAGTTAGTCCGCCGGGACGTGTGCGCTGGGAGCTCACGGACAATGCTCGGGCACGATGCGATTATCTGAGACATAATGGGAAAGAACCACCTTATTTATGTCAGGGCCTTTGGGCGCCCTTCCGACTTGAAAGGCGCTTTATAAGTGTAATTTGTTGTTTGCTGTCCCCTCCGACTGCAGCAGCACTTGGGGTCAAACTGAGCAGAAAGTGACAGGTAGTGGGTTTCGGTTGCTTTATTGTTGAAAGTTTATCACGTGAGTAGACATTCTCAACAGCCTTTGAATGGTATAGAGACAGGATCCTCACGTACTTCACTGGCTTACATCTTGGAGGAGATGAGCATTGCTGCCGGGTTGTTGGCTGCAGTCAGCCAATGCCCACCATCTGCCACTAGGGTGGTGCCAGTTACATAGGAGGCTGCAGGGCTCACAAGGTACAGCACACCATGTGCTATCTCTGTTTTATTTCCCACTCGCTGCAGAGGAATCATTTTAAAATGTTCAGCTGCATCTGCCGTCAAACCACCTAGAGAGAAGGGGCAGAGGAACCAGGAATAGAGACAAGTTTGTGAATGAGGTGACAACGGAATCTGCTTATGGGGCTCAAATCATTTGTGAACACTATGAACCAACCCAGTTTCCCATATCCTTACCCAGCTTTCGAAAGCCCTCTGTTCCAGAGACAGGGCCTGGGGCCAGGCTGTTGATTCGGATGTTGTCAGGACCCCATTCCACAGCTAGGTGCTTTGTCATCGCCTCTATACAGCATAGACGAGGAAAAGAAACAGAGTTGGTGAGATAACCAAACAGGTGCTGGTCAACAATCCTCCAAATAAAAGTCTTGATATACCTTTCACATCAAGGCTTCAGATTTATAGCGATGACAAAATATTTTTTTTAGGTTGGGATCCAAAGAGTCATTGAAACAGCAGCTAGAAAGACAATACCAATAAGGGATAATAATGAGCAATGGTGATGCTAGCACTTCCTCCATCCCTCTCCCCCCTCACCATCTCATCTCCCCGGGGTACGACTGTTTGTGGGACACTGCTGTGCGAAACTGGCTGTTATGTTTTGCCCACAAAATATACAGTTACTCCACTTTAACGTGTATCCTGTGAAGCGCTTTGAGACGTCTCTATAATGTGATAAGGCACTTTATCAAATGCAAGTTTTTTAAATTATTTATTATAGTGAAATAATAATCCTTGCATTTGATATAGCGCCTTATCACGTCTTCGAGACGTCTCAAAGCACTTCACAGAAAATACTGTAAAGTGGAGTGACTATATATTATGTGGCGACACGGCAGCCAATTGCGCACAGCAGTGTCCCACAAATTCTAAAACTTAATCATAAAAAAATCCTATATTGACAGCAGAGGTAGAAGAATTTAAAGTGAAGCAACTTGTAAACTGTTAAGAGTGCATTATTAATCAGCGAGTCTCACACTGTATGTTAAGCAGTGAGTCTGTTAGAGATTAGGTAAAGAGAGAGTGTGCACTCCATACCAGACATACAAACTATAGTTACTGTATGTGGAACTCTTAGTAGTTTGATTTGTAGGCTCTTAAGCATGGTGAAAGGTTTCTGTGTGTGTCAGATACCCATTTGACCAAATAAAATACACTGAGTTCAGTCAGCAGTCTCCCTGCTGCTCACATCCTTTGTAGAGATCCTTGAGATTAGCTGTAACTGCAGGGCAAATCTTTACTGGAGTTTTTACCTATGGCAGCCTTGGCAGAGCCAGAGTGAACCTGCAGCGCCTGTCCTCTGTAGCTCAATGTAGCTGTGATATTCACGATAACTCCACCATGATCCTACAGTAACACAAAGAGGCGACATGTACCATTGCACAGAACCTTCTCTTTCAATATGATTACATAATGTTTAGTAATGTGAATCAGAACTAAATGTCCAGGAATTGAACATTCTCTACAGGTTACTCTGTACCCATGTAAAAGCCAGTTTAGAGAGAATAAGATTAGATGCTTCAACATGTGTTTTGAAAGATTTTTGAGAAACTGGACAGGATAGGAAGAAACTTTTTTTGTTTAGAAATTCAGAGAAATAGACTGCTTTGCAGAATTGGAAAATAGGTGACAGATCCAATTTAATGTAAATGGTGAGAAACAATGTGGGGAAAAAACACAAAGTAATGAAGTGTCTCCTGACAGTAAAGTTCTTAGTGTACAGAAACAAAGAGATCTAAAGGTGTAGAAATATAGTTCTTTAAAGGTGTTGGTGCAAGTAGAAAAGGCCATAAAAAGGCAAATAGTATTTTATATATCAGGACAATGACAAAAAAAGCAATTTCATTGGCTGTCAAACCCAATGAAAAAGGTGCCATGTATATTTGCGCAAATGGCAACAGGGATGAAGAATTGTAGTTAATGAGGCTAGGACTAAAATAAAAAAATCTGTTTTCACTGGAACAGAGAAGGTTAAGGGATCTAATAAAAATCTTCACAATTCTGAAATACTCACTTTGTTGTCCACCTTCTTGGTTAGGAGTTGTGCACTATGGACTTAAGGAGAGGCATCTGATTCCAAACTGCAATGAGCGCATCTCACCTTAAACCACTTTTGGTAAAGGACCTTGCTGGTGTTGAAGGTTCCCATTGTGTCGATGTCCAACACGGTCCTGAAGGCATTGAATGAAAGGCCGCTGGCAGGACTCAGGAAGTTCCCTGCAGCACCTAGCGAACAAGGAAGAGCATTGAAAATATTGGTAATACATTTAAAGCTTAGGGTGAGACGTTAAACCAAGAGTGCTTGAATGCTAGTGTCATGCATCTGGTGCTATGTCATGCCATGCTGTGCAGTGCCTGGCAGTGAAGTTCTGCGTTGCCTCAGACTTACTGTTAATCAATATATCAATTTTTCCAAATTTCGACAGGGTCTCCTCCACAGCAGCAATAATAGTCTGCGGCTGCCTGACATCAGCCTTCAGTGGTAAGCAGTGCTGTCCTGTTGCGATTTTCAGCTTCTCCGCAGCCTGCAGCACAGAGAGTTGCAGGTATCCATCATTCCAGCTACTTATTCTGACATCTGGCACCACCTAGACCTACCAAAGCAGATTCCCTGTCCTTCCCTCACACGATTACCCCAAACACTGTTCCATCTAACTCACCGCTTGCACTCTCTCCAGGCTTCTGCTCGCAATTGCAGTCTGACACCCATGTCTGTGACAGAAGGGGCATGATTAGACTCCAGTTGTGAGATACATGCCAAATACAATCATCACTGATCTCTAATCTGATCTCCTGTCTGCAGCATGTTTTGACACTACTCAACTACTGAATGGAACATGGTAAAGAAAGCTAATAACAGTGCTGAAAACTCAATAATGTAGAACAGTCATAGCAGCAAAGAAAACTCATCACAGAACATTCATATAGAGTGGGAAGACTCACTGTGGCATGTATTTACCTCATGAGAATCTCTACAATTCGGAATCCAATGCCGGAACCGCCACCTGTCACGAACGCCACTTTCTCCCTGCTCAATGGAAGCAGCAAGGTTCAAGAAGGATTTATATTCATAGAAGATTGTATGCAGAAGTATAAACCACACACTGATTTGTATAAGGTATCAAAATATGCTGGTTTATGAAAAAAGGGCTTTTTTCCACTATACCCATTCTGGACATCCACCCAATATGAAAGGCACATATGTAAAGATTAATCTTGTATTAATATCCTCCCCTCCCCCCACCATCTCCACCTCCATACCCCCATAGATTATGTTCTCATCAGGACTGTGGGGCAGGTTGTGGCTTTATTTTAGATTGGGGAATATCATAAGGCTCAGAGGAAACCCATCTGCATTGCATTCAGCAATTTTCACAAGGCTTTTGACCTGGTTACATTTCGTAAATGTACACAATGTAATCTTCTTGTTGTAGTTCCTCATGAAGAAACTGAAAGCTATGGAAATACATGGCCAAATTTTGGATTTTATTCAGAATGTGAACGTGTATTCCAGCTCCATAATCCATGTAAAGGTTGACTGTAACTCACCAAGCCTATCTCTCATGAAGGTGGTGGTGGGGGGTCAGAAGGCTGTCCACTGTCACCCACCTTATTCGATGTGTTCATCAATGATGTATTGGATGGCATTGAGGGGGGACAGACATGGTATACCTTTTCCTGATAGAATTGTGGCGCTTCTGTTTGCAGAAGCTATTGTGATTTTGACATCAAAATCTCTCTGCCTGTCAACCTGGACCTAATACTTTCCAGAATTACGTAAGCATGGGTGGGTGGGTGGGTGGGTGGGTGTGAGTGAGTAAGTGAGCATTCCATTCCACGCACAGCATGTGTAGGTGGGACGCATGTAAATTTCAGTTCGGTTCGGATACTCTTAAATGTGGTGACAGGTTTCCCGCGCGCGTCATACCAAGAAAACCTCTCCCCTACCCCTCCCCTCCCCCCCCCCCCCCCCCCCCCCACCCAGTCTTTTCCTACCTCGTCTACCTACACGCGACCTTCTAGCCGCCTCCTAGCGGGTAAATGCATATCTTACTTACTTCAAGACAGAAGGACTGAAAATGTAGGAATAGTTCACTAAGCACTCGTCACTGTCCACATCCTCGGGGACCGTGCTGCTGCCGGACATGTCCGCACTTTCAAGACTTATTTGAAATGAATGTGTGTCCCAGCAAATGACAGACAGACAGACAGACAGACAGACAAGACAAGACAGCCTGACTGAAGCAGCTTCTGACACGACTCCGAGCCCCACACACTGCGGCTGAAACGACTGAACTCTGGACCCAGCAGCTGAATCAGTGGCACACTCTCGGGGTTCGCTGAGTCTGGTTCAGTTCACTGAGTCAACGGCACCGGTGTCTCGTCTGAGACACTGATGGGGCCTCTTCCAGTGATTCCTTCCTCCCATCAGGAGCAAACCGTGACCTTTGCCCTCCTGGTCTCCCTGAGCCTGGGGGGGAGGGGGGGTTCGCGGTGGCCGATGGGATCTGTAGTTCGAGGCGGGGCTGCCGAACCGCATGTCCCAGAATGCCCGGGATTCTATTTAATATTTAATATGTAATATTTAATATGTAATACTCTATTACATTTGGATACAGGCTCCGTATCCGAGCGCTCCGGGACGTGCTCCTGGCGTGAGAAGCGCTGTTACAAATGTAATTGTTGTTGTTGTTCACCCGAGTGAAGGGCGCTATGTCAATGCAAGTTGTCGCATGTTCTTCGCTTGAAAGTGGATCGGGCATTGCGTGATCTGGAGCGAGGTGCTTTTGTGGTTAAAAATGGAAAGCAAGGTAAAGGGAGGCAGAGCTAGCTCTGAACTACACAGACTCGTTACTGTGGAGTCGTGTAGCTCAGTGGTTAGAGCACTCGCCTTGCAAGCGAGACACCTGCGTTCATTTCCACACTCCTAATAATAATCCCTCCAAAAACAATAATAAATTGGTCATTTTCAATCCGCGACTGTTTGTGGGCCACTGCTGTGCTCAATTGGCTGCCGCGTTTTGACCACAAATGTACGGTCAATTCAGTTTACAGCATATTCTGTGAAGCGCTTTGAGACTTCTAGAAGATGTGAAAAGCGTATATTCAAATGCAAGGATTATTATTATTGCTTAGCTGCCAGGAGTCCAAGAGGCAAAGTCCACTTTACAATGGGCACTTCTCTTTACCGAAGCTCCTTGCATAACGAATAAACAGTTGGTAAGGGATAATCAAGGACACAGCATTGGGCTTGGATCTCCAGAACATCAAGGTGGCTAGAATTTCATACGTTGCTCTATATAGATCCACCACATAGCTGATTAGGAAACTGAGACAGTGATGAAAGATATTAACTAGAGCCCAGGTTAATAATAATCCTTGCATTTGATATAGCACCTCATCGTGTCATTGAGACGTCTCAAAGCGCTTTATAGAATATACTGTAAAGTGAATTGACCTGATATTTTCTGGGTGAAATAAGGTTATGAACACATGCTGAAATGTCAAGGGAACGAGATGGGAATGTCAACGGGAAGTACGCCAAATGATAGGTTGTCTGGGTTAGACTCCAGAGGTACCCCAGTCCACACGATAGGGTCCCCAAATCTTGTCAACCCGTGTGTGAGTTGAGGGAGGGAGAGAGAACGAGAGAGCGAGAGTCCACGCCATTAGAAAACCGGGGCTGGAATGGACACCTCGCCCCCACCGCCCCGAGAGTCCGCGCAGATCCCGCGGAGGGGGCGACCGTCACGTCTCCCGATTTGCGGCGGGCAGTCCGGTCGGCGACCGCGACCCCGACCCCGGCCGAACCCGGTGGGGGTTGGGGGGGTGGGGTGGGGGGGCCCCGTCTCGCGTCTCCGCCGCCCGCAAACGAACCGAGCGCAAAGCAGTACGACGGAGAGCGACCAATCACAGCCCCAGAGAAAATAAACGCAGCCACGAAGCCGACACCAGGAATTAATTGTGCGGTGAGGTCAATGGTCTGACACGACGCTGGGATTCAGGGGCTGCAGCTCAGGGTGGGGGAGGGGGTGGGGGGGAGTGGGGGAGGGGGGTCGGGGGAGGGACCCAGCAAGACCGACGCTCCTCATTGGTCCTCACGGCCGCTTCCGGCGGCGCCCCTGGGCGGCGTTGCCAGGGTAACCGGGGAGGACACGGTTGGACGGGCCCGAACCGGAGCTGCCTCCCAGGCCGCGGATTAACGGTAAACGAGCGGCCCGGTTTAAGCCGCCGCCGCCCGCCGCCGCCGCGGAGAGAAAAAAAATCCAAAAAGCCAACACCGGGCTCTTCGGTGCGGGCGTGAGGTCGTAGCGGAGCCCCGCAACCCGCCCAACCCGCCCGGGGATTAGAGTAGCGAGGCTGCGGCTCGGTGCGCTGTCTGGCCCGGGCCGGTTGAGGCAGCGGCAGCGGCAGCGGCAGGTGGGGCCTAATGTCCGGTACAACTGGCAAATGATGGTGATGATGATGATGATAATGATCCTCGCGTTTGACACAGTGCCTTTATCGCGTCTTCGAGACGTCTCTCAAAAGCGCTTCGCGGTTTACACGGTAAAGTGTAGTGACTGCGTTATAACGTTATAACGCGGCAGCCACCTGCGGCCAGCGACGTCCCCGCAAACAATCGTGGGTCGAGTGACCGATCGTATCATGGTTTTAAGGTGCCGCAAAGCCGCTGGCCTCGGCAGCAGCGCCACCTTTAACCTTTATTATTATTATTATTATTAACCTTTAACCCGGGTCGACGTGAGAAAGTTTAGCGCTTTCCCCCTCGCACTAACCCGGTTACCACGGTCGGTGCGGGTTGGTACTGATTGACGTCTTTAACCGGTTCTGATGCTTTTCGTTTAATTTTTTTACTCATTGGTAAACCGCAGTTTTCGTGGAAGGAAGAAAAAAAAAATCCTGGGAAGCAATAGCCTTAAATTCACGATTCCACTATTTACCTAATCAGGTATTTAACAACAGAAAATTGACACGCATCGTACGGTGCGATTCTGCCACCGACACTGCAGTGCGATGCTGGGGGAGTGCTACATGGTTGGAGGTACTATCCTTCAGTTGAGACGTTAAACTGAGATCCCCGTCTGCCTGATTAGGTGGACATTAAAGATCCCATGGCACTATTTGAGAAGAGAAGGGAGTTTCTCCTAATGTCCTGGCCAACAATCCCCCCGATAAAATTGGTCATTCACTTGATGCTGCTTGTGGAACATTCATTGCTTGTGCAAAGTTATTAATGCCTTCACCTATAAAATCCTGTGAAGTGCTTTGAGACGTCTTGATGATGTGATATGGCACTGCATCAAAGGGAACAATATTATTTAATCACCACTGAGCACATCTAGTGGTAGAATGTCATAACTACGTTTTCAATAAATTTCAATACAAATGAAATCTTTCCAATCTCTTCTGGTGTAAAGCTTTAAGAAACCAATGCCTGTAAAGGTAATAATAAAAGCATTCTCACAAATACTAGCTCTAGCCACACATTAGATCTTTGAGTTCACAGTTTGGTTTAACAGTTCGGTACAGCGCTGGAGAGCCATAGCATTGTCAGAGGTGCCAAACTTCAGATGAGACATCAAACCAAAATCTTGTCGGCTTGTTCAGGTGACAGTTAAGATGCCAGGAAACTTTGAAAAGAGAAAGGAGTTTATCCTGGTGTCTTAGCCAACAACCCTTTTGATAAATAGATCTTTCACATCATAAAATAACAATAATAAATTGGTCATTTCAATTCACGACTGTTTGTGGGACACTGCTGTGCGCAATTGGCTGCCGCATTTCACCCACAAATATACAGTCAATTCACTTTACAGTCTATTCTGTGAAGCGCTTTGAGACGTCGAAAAACATGAAAAGCGCTATATCAAATGCAAGGATTATTATTATCATGGGCCCCTGCTGTATGCAAATTGGATGTCATGTTTACTTACCTACATTTAACAGCAAATATTTACAAAGCGATTTTGAGACATTTGATGTTATAGCTGCCAAGATTGAGATGCAAAGATTATTAATACACGTTTCTTGTGACTACTGGTTACTTGAAGGAAAGGAGAAAAATGCTGCCGTGAGCAATGAGGAAAGCAGAAGATATCCCATTAGATTAGGCAAACTAAGCAGTGTGGGGGAATCTGTGTTTGCACTGTAATCAATGTAATACTTTGAGGAGACTAACAATAACATAGATTTTGTATGGTTTAGTATTTAGCCTGTACAGTACTTGACCTGGGAGTGCTGCATTGGACAGTGTAGAGGGAGCTTTGGAACTGTCCACTGTATGTGATTGCTTGGTCTAACTTGCTGTTATGTTTTAGGTCTCCTGCCTCAGTGGGTGGCTGGGATCAAACTTGCAAGCATGACTTCATGTTTTATTACTCTGTATGCTTTTTATTACTCTCGTAATGGGAGCTATGAATGTTTTGTTTGAGGATGGTGTGAGATTGGAAGAAAGAGCATATCAGCACTGAGTACAGCAGCTGGAGCTTTCCTTGGGTTGCTGGTAATTTATATGCTGCTTAAAATGTCATGATTTTCTTACAGAACTGACCAGAAACTGAGTGCAGACATGGCAGTTTACTTTGATCATCATGTTGAAGCCCCAGATACTGCAGGTGCTCCATCACAAATAGCTTGGCACATTAGCCATCCATTGCTGGCAGTTGCCTCTGTCAGTGGCACTGCAGGGGGCAGTGTAGACATCTATGGGGAACAGGTGGGTATCCTGTGGTGTAGTGAAATACTATGTAGATTGCATGAGGTTGTGTTTATTGTAACATGGACAAGTGACTGCAGTGAGAGAAGCTGGAAACTGAACAGACCTATGTTCAGGCATACTGACAGCTCAGAAAGGCAAGGACGGGTAGTATAAGGCAAATATATATTACACATAACTGGGTGAAGGACAAGGGAACTGGCACGAGGCCTGAACGATCCTGCAGTGAAAGATATTATCTGTAAAATATTGTAACCTAAACTGGGCACATCTGTCTGCGGAGGTTTGAGACATTTCAAATCTGGGGCCCTTGTATATATGGCTCAGTTATGCATTGGATAATACAATTTCCGGCAGAGTCAACCAGATTTGTTTTATAGAGAGTTTAAGAGAGTTAAGAAGTGAAGTGAAGTTTATTCACTCCTACGTCAGCAATAGCCCTATGCCTCTTTTGCTTTACAATCTTTAGACTCCAATTAGATATTAGATTTTTACAGATGGGTATGTACATCCCATGTACAATGTCTGGGAGAATTGTGTGCAGATTTCAGGTAGTTCTGCCCAGTGTCCAGGAGAATTGTGTGTAGACCTGTGTGGAACGTAATTCACTTCAGTACCAACCCTTTGAATTTCCAATTCTAGGGCGAGCATATTCCAAATGCACACTTAGAGCGATTATTTCAACCAACAGCCATCTGTTGGCATCCATCTAAAAGGATTCTGGCAACAGGCTGGGAAGCAGGAGAGATCATACTGTGGAATGAACAGGATGGGGAGGAACAACAGTCAGTCACTGAAGCACACTGTGCTGATATCACCCTGCTGGAATGGAGCACCAATGGCAACCGGTTGATTTCTGCTGATAAGGTATGCGAGGGAAAGGGACACTTTTTCTGGTGTAAGTGTCTACAGCAGTGGTGATAGAAATCAGAGACTGAGTGATACTGAATCTCTATAGCTGATGCTTACTGACAAGCTAATCCATGGCTGATATTTTTTGCTATCCCACAAGCAGAGGAGGTGGTAACTGGTAGTGGTGAGGGAGGAATGGTGTTTGAGTGTTTCTGATTCTCACTTCACACCAGAGTATGATTCTGTCATCTTAAGGGACAGGATAAGGATTGTTTCATGAACTGCTATATAAATATTTGGAGACCTGAGTTTGCACAGAGCACTCTTTCACACTTGAAAGAAAATGTGGATACTGAGGATTTATTTTACAGATCTGCTGATCTTTTTACCACTTGAGTTCTTTATTACCACAAGAATGAATTGCTCTGTTTTCTCCCTGGGTGCTGTTAGCTTGGTGTTCTGCTGGTGTGGCGGGTGGATCAGCGAGGACGTATGCATGGATCGCCTCTCTTTAAGGAGGAATATAGCAGGCATCTGTCCCACTGTGTTTTCAGACCAGCTGCCCTTGGAGAGTAAGTATGCACAAATTAATCTGCCTCTCACTGAAATATGAGTCTGCTAAGAGCCTGTACCATGTGTGGCAGTACTCCTTGTCCTTTACACATTGACATTTAACTACTGTGTTACCAATAAATGATATTTCCATAGGGACCTGGTGCAGTTGGCTAAAGCTGCAGTTAGTGGAGATGAAAGTGCACTGGACATGTTTAACTGGAGAAAGACTGGAAAGGGAGGTGCACCACTCAAAGTTGGACCCCAGGAAGGACTAGCTTTCTTCATCAGTGCAACAGATGGTAAGCAAACCAGGCACAGCATGGACTCAAGAGCTCTGTCCTGCTGTGTAATACACTGAGATACTGAATTGCAGTAAATGCACTATTCAAGCATGATTCATTTTGCTTTGTTCAAATCATAATAATAACTCCTTTCTGTTTCCATGAGACTAACCTTTACCTCTTGTACTAGGCTCTGTATACTACATGGACGAAAGGGGGAAGACCTCACAGGCTTTCCATATGGATGGACCGGTCAGGAAACTCATGTACATGGAGAGCAAGGACATCCTGGTTGTGGTGACCGAGACACTTGTGCTGTCGCAGTACAGTGTCAGTGCAGACGGGGCAACTCAGGAGGTCATAAAGGTACGAGTAGTTTCTCCTGAAATTCCATGGCTTATTGGAGGCGAGTCTTATTGGGACGTCCTCCTGACATGAAAGACGTTATATAAATGTAATTTGTTGTTGTTGAATCAAAGAGATATGAATGAAGGAAGAAAAATGTTTCCTGACTCAATTATTAAACATGAATTTAATTACATCACACATGCCTGAGGGTTAGAACCTGATTTTCTGTTCTGCTGTGTAATGATATTGAGTATTTTACTACCTTAAATGCTCTGTGGTTTCTCTCTACCTAATGGTTCCTTGTTTGTAGGTGAAGCTGAGTGGAAAAGCGGGTCATGCAGCTGATATTATCTGGGCAGAGAAGGGACTTCTTCTCACAGCAACAGGAGAGATAGTTATAAGGTGAGATGCTGACGAGATCATCAATGTTTTCTGCTGCTTTGTGAGAGAGCAGGTTCAGATGTGGTTCAGACGGGCAAGCGAAAATGCAGGCGTGCTATATTGTCTGCTGCTTGATGGACATGGGCTACCTGACATGGGTATGTAGAGATGGGTATTGGTGATGTGTGGATGAACATGTGGATTAATGATATTTTTCAATGTGATTGCATTCAGTGCATTCTCATTATCATATTTCCCTTAGACTCTGGGACTTGGAGCGAGATGAGAACTATGTGTTGATGCTGGAGGAGAACTTGGGCTTTGTTGCTGGGGAAAGCATTAATTGCATCTCGTATTGTGCAGCTAAAGGTAAGTGTCAGTCATGCAGTCTAAACTTGTCCTCAACTAGATCAGCACAAGCGAAGTCAAACTGCAGATCACCTATTGCTACTTTTTTGACATGAGGCAATACATATCCAATACTGGGTTGGACACATTATGGAGGGTATTTTGGGAGAGGATTTATTTCCATCAGGGACATGGATGTTGTCTTTCGCCCACACACCAGAATTCCTGTTGGAAGTCACCTTTAGAAATCATCTGACATTGAATTGAGATTGGTGTCAAACTGCAGTTCCACGAGAGTTCCAGTAGGTTGGTCTGATTGATTTATCGCCATCTCGGAGTGCTTAAACAGGATTGTAAGAAAGTTCTGACCAGAAGAATTGCTTGCTTTTCTCCAGGAATCCTTGCAGCCGGCACCAACAAGGGGCACATTGCCATGTGGCGGAAAGTGCCAGTCAGCAGGTCGTCTGTGTGGAAAACGGAGGGTAAAGAGCGATGGAAACTACAGACTCCAATAGAACTGGAGGGAAATATCTCACAAGTTAAGGTAGTGGAGGTGGACAGGGTGGAAAAAAAGGGGAAGAAAAACACGAGGCAGGGAGGCCAGGGGGCAAGCAAGGAGGGTAATATTTTATAAAATCAAATAATGTGATTGCTGAAGGCCAATGTGGCCTGCGCGTAATAGCTGCAAGCTACCTTCCACTTGTTTCGGGGTGAAAGTGAGGAGATGCCTGATTCATTGCTGCTCTCAGTAAACTATCTGTGTGTTTACCTTGTGTGTTTTATATTAGTGGGGCTGCAGTAAGAATCTCCTGGCTGTGAAGAACGACAGCACGATCCTCATCCTCAGCGAGCAGGTCATGTCTGCCCACTTCAATCAGCAAGTTGCAGCCGTGCAAGTGGCACCCAACCTACTAAACCTCACCACCTTCTCCTCGGGCACCCAGCAGGCTCTCCGCACCAACATCCATGTTAAAGGGACTTTCGTCACCAAGGTACAATGCCAACAGCACAGAGAGACTAACAGTGCTGTATTATGCTGGAAAAGAGCATTTTTCAGATCCAAAAGGAAAATAGTTGGCTAGCTAAATGTTAACTGCTAAACAGCAGTGGGGAAGATTTACATTTGAGAAGGATAGGGGACAGAATGAAACATTACAATTAGGACCACAGAAACATTGCCAGAGTTCAAGGAACATTATAGATGTTTAAGGAGATTAAGTTAGTGTTGATAATAGATGTAATCCACAGGTACAGAAGAATGCAAATGGGAAATTAGGAGACACCGCATCCCACAGAGCACACACAGAATTCTCACACTACACACAGCCACCCATGCAACGTAGCCCTGAACAGTGCATGTATTTGTACCTTTAACTTAACCTCTTGGATTTACCATAGAATTCTGACACTGTCCTTTCCTCCTGATTGAACCCATAGGCGCTCCCGGCACATTTTGTCTCACTGACATATTTTCCTACACACACACAACACATTGTTCCCCTGCCTGTCTGCCCCCACATACCTGCTTCCTCATCCATCCCCCAATTGCTGTTCAGTATAACCTGTATGTGGATTGTGGTGCTGTTAGTTGCTGTTGAGTATAGCCAGATGTGGAGTATTGCCCTGCTGTTCAGCATAGTTTGGGAGGGTTGCTGTGCTGCTCATAAATCTTTCTTTCTGTCTATGTAGGAGACAGTTACAGTGTGGAACGGAAAATCCATCACAGTCTTCGAGCCATTTGGACCATCAATGAAAAACACGAGTAAAGTTTCCATTTACATTTTTCAGCCCATTCCTCTCCCAATATTTTCCTTTCCTCTCATGAAGTTGGGATGCAGTAGCATAAACGTGCATTCATCCTTTGGTCCCTCTCCAAAATGGTAACTTGTTGTGTGAGTTGGCAGCACATCAGAGCTGAGCTTGATGCTGAACTCAGCCAACATTGAGGGACAGTGGGTACCCTGGCACTCCTTTTCCACTCCCCGTCCAAGCATTATGTGACTGTTTGTAATCTTAAAGCTGATCTGGCTGAGATCAACTAACAGCTGTGATGGGGGAACCTGGTGAACCATAAACGCAGTGTTTTTAACAACTGAGCCATTGTGCAGTGAGCAGTACAGCTTTGCTCAGTGTTGTTTTAACCTTTTTTTCTGCTCTGATATTTGATAACAATGCTCTGCAGTGTATATTTCTGTAAATTATTTCTGTTTCAGGCTCTTTCCCCTGCGACTCCCCTGTTGTGGTAGTGCACGAGGAGAACATTTACACTGTGGAGCCAAATCGGGTCCAAGTCCGCACCCTGCAAGTATGTGTCGTGCTGAACCCACAGCTCAGCCAAAAGCTGTAACCGCCCTCAGCAGTGTAGGCTAGACCTACCCTGCACCTTGTATACCACTCACATGCACACCTGAGCATACTCTCATGTTTGTGCATGTATGCATGAGAGTGAGTGTGCATTCAAGTGTGTGTGTATGTGTAATAATGATAATAATCCTTTCATTTGATATCGTGCCTTATCACGTCGTTGAGTGCTTTATGGAATATACTGTAAAGTGGATATTCTGTGTGTAGGTGTGTGTCTTGTGTGAAAATGTCTGTGCGAGAGGAGTTGTGGAGGGTGGGGGTTCATAGATGTGCACCATTACTTCTGTGTGACTGTCCTGTTTCTAATTGTCACAGGGAACTGTTAAGCAGCTGCTGCCTTTCACTGAGTCGGAGGGAAATCCCTGCCATCTTCACATTTCTGGGAACTTCCTCGTTGTGGGAACAGATGCAGCAAATGTCAAAATTTTCGACCTTTCCCGCAGGTATTGAACGCATACCTGAGCTTTACCTTTCCCACAGCTATTGGTCATAGGCTTCAACCCTCCAGCATTAAAAATAATTCTAATATCTTTCCACAAGAAGCCGAGTGAGCTAGAGAGCTATTGAGGAATCTGACTGATTTCAATGGGCCTTAAAATGGTATTTTGGTAATCATTGGGAGTAAATCAGACACATTGGAACCTTTTAGTTTTGATCAGGAATGAATAGGATTCTGTTTTCATGAGGATTGCATGGACCTGGATTAAGAAGTTAGTGCTAGTTTGCGACATTGGACTTGGATCTCCAGAACATTAAGGTGGTTGGCACATCTTAAATTGTCCTATAAAGGTCCTCCCATCACTGAGTGCAGTAGCTGTCTCTCTTTCCTTCTCTTATGATATTGCAGTATATGTGATACCGGTGGGTGAGACCTGTTGTGTAAAGGTTGAGGTAGTGCACCAGGTGCCATGACATGAGGGTAAGTGGTGAGCTGTATTAACTTGCTGTGCATGAATTATAGGATAGTGCTGCAGGTTTCAGGCTGACTGAGCTGTTCCATCATGAATATAACTATACTTCTGTGCTCTAAGGGAAGCAAAGCCGCACTGTAACACCAAGAATATGACAGAGCTGATCCCAAACCTGGCGAGCATTGCATCTGTGCGCTGTAATTCAAACGGTACTAACGTCAGCATCCTCACCAACAAGGTATGTCGTGTGAGTACGTGTGTTGAGTGAGTTTTTGTGCATGTGAAAATGAGCGTTTGTGTGACAGGCTGTGTGTACTTATGTGTGAACGTGCGAGCATTTGTCCAAATATGTTGTATGTATTATAATAAAAATAATAATCGTATTTCATATAGCGCCTTATAACATCTTCAAAACATCTCAAAGCGCTTCACAGAATATACTATAAAGTGAATTGACTGTATTTTGTGGGCGAATCGTGGCAGCCATTAGATAAACTTTACAGCCTTGAAAAGAGATACCTCAGAGGGGACCGTTTAGTGATATACAAGGATTATTATTATTTTTATTGTTATTACTAACACATTCTGTTTTGTTCTTGTGTCCATTCAGGCAGATGGCACACCAGACTCCAAGATCTATTTCTATGATGTGGAGATGGACACTTTAAACTACTTTGACTTTGAAAGTGGCCGATCAACTAATGAGGGCTGCTCGGCGACTCGAGGGGAAGATGGTGATATTGAGAAGTGAGTATCTGCTGCACACTTTCTACTGCGTCCATTGCCTCCTTCAAGGCACGTCTCAAGACCATCCTCTTCGACCAGGCCTTCGGCCCCCCTCCTAACCTCCCTGCCCTCCCACCTTCAAATCCCTAACTGTCCAGCTGCTTGGGACGTCCTCCCGCCGTGAAAGGCGTTTTACAAATGTAATTCTGTGTTGTATTGGGGGAGTGAGAGCCTGCATGGTGTGGCTGGTGATGGTGGGGGAGGAGGGTTTATATATGGGGGTGGCTAGACAGAATTCCCAGTAACAATCCAAGAGATTGCTGCCTCTGCCCTCTCACTGTCACATGTTTGTTACAATGTCTTTGTTTGGAGCTGTGATTTATGTTTAATTTACAGGGGGCGCTCTGAAATGGCCGAGTTTCTGGGTCGCTATCCGGTCAGTCATTTCTGGGATCAGAATGAGCCCAGGCTGTTTGTGTGCGAGGCTGCTCTAACTGTCCCACTACCAGAGCAGGCTGCAGGCAAGAAAACCCAGAACATTGAGTGGAAGGTGGGTGTTGTCTTAAGAATGTTAAAAAAAATCCAAAGTTTTCAATTTAAAACAGCCATCTATATACTAGTGTACCCACATGTAATAATAAATAATAATCTTGGCATTTGATATCGTGCCTTATCACGTCGCTGAGACATCTCAAAGCGCTTCACAGAATATGTTGTAAAGTGGATTTACTGTATATCCACTTGGCTGTGGGTGAAACGCAGCAGCCAATTGCCAAGTGATTTAGCAAAATATTGTTTCTGAAACTCAGTCTGGATTTTAGATGCTTCGATTGAGCTGCAGTATAAAATAACATCTCCATAGGAACAGGGAATTGAAAATAGCATTGTGGTCCTGCTGGCAAGTTCGAAAGTAAAAAGAAAATTCTATACTAATCTCTCATACCTCTCAATTAATTTCTTCCCCAAATAGCTATCTCATTCATTGTTTATTTCCCTGATGCAATTTTGGAACCCTTACACTGCCAGAGGCCTGTGCCATATCCAGTCCCACTTGACTAGCCTTGTGTCCTAAATATTTTTTCCCACTGAAATAGAGGGGATGTGATAAAAGTGTTTTAAGATAAAAGATGTTTTAGATTGGGAAGACTACTTCTTTCAATTGGAAACTAGTGATTTGGGGGCACAGTCTCAGGAATGTTAGTGGAAAATATAGGGGAGAGGTTGGAAGGAATTTCTTCACTTTTTGTTAAGTTAAATACTATGGACCCGACTCTGCAGATTTACCATTGAGAATGGGATGGCGCGGGGGCACTTGATATGCTAAATACTGCTAAATGACCCCACATATACACTGACTTGTATTGTCTCTGATGTTAGTGCAGCTGAACACTGGTTGACATTGATAATCCAATGCCTAATTGCACACTGAATAAAGAGGTGGCTCTGACCTATTTTTACAGATTGGAAGTGTGGGATTTCCTGAAGGGATAGTTGGTTGCTAGCCACCATTGCCCTTCTGTTTCCACATTCCTGTAGGACTTGTTCTTTGAGAAATGCTGAGACCAACCTGAGTTGCTTACTGCGCTTGAGAAGAAAATCCCACTCTGCAAATCAGGAGCTGAGCTGGTGGACGGGACTAAGGACTGAGATGAAAATCATTGTCAGAAATTAATTGGAGATAAATGTGTGTAATGAGCTGAACCAGCCTGAGGATGTTGTGCTGTGTGCATGAGTCCTTTGCTTCAGCTTGTGCAAGGGCTGAGTTTGTCTGTGTGTGCATGAGAGTGGATGCTGATGATTGCTGCAGGATTTTAAGTCTTCCCTTCCTGCAGGTGGAGGTTCTGGTGGTGTCGTTCTTCAGTACTCAGGAACATGGCCTCCTGTTGCAGGACAGCTTTCCCAAGATGGCTGCCCACGAAGCCCTGCTGGGTCTTGAGGTTCCCTATTACTACTTCTCCCGGAAGGTACGATATCCACCGTCTGGTAGCAGCAAATTATCTGCAGCTTAGGTAGGCTTCAGGCCCTTGATTTTACCATTGGTATTTGATTCATTCCTGACAAAATCCATCAGTTACAGCATGTGTAATAAGCTTTGCATTCATGAGAGGTCATGTGTTCCAGTATTATTGAATGTGTATTTAGAGGTTTAAGCATTTGTTCTAAGTCTGGAGTATATTTGTGCATATTCATTATAAGTTGGTGCATCTCAGTCATGCTGTGCGGCTCGGAACAATAGATATTCTGAATAACTAAGTGCTAATAGTAGAAGTGGACACATCACCAGAACCATTAGCATAGTAGCAATAAAGATAAACATGATCTTGGGGTGTGTAGGTAAAGGAATAGCTCATAAGTCACAGGATGTGACACCTGACTTGGACGTAGCACTGGTCTGATCTCGCCTGGAGTACTATGTGCAATTCTGGTTCTGCGGCATTGCTGTGGCATTCTTGTGGACCATTACTCATTCTGCTACTTTATTCTTCTTGGTACTAATTCACTTTTTGGATCCCACAGAGGTCCTATGTCATCCTTGGTTATATTTCTGCAATGAATGCATTTATTAAAAACTCTTTGGATCCGGCTATATCAAATTAAAGGATTATTATTATTATTATCTGATTATATGCAACTTTACGCAGGTTGAAATTCAGTCAAACAGAGAGGAAGACCGTAGCAAAGAAACATTCCTAGCATTTATCCGAGACTCAAAAATTTTGGAGAGTTTAAAGAATGTTGCTGTTAGCTGGTGGATTGGTGACCACAGGTTACTAACTCAGGATTATCATTGGAAGAGTAAAATGGGAGATCAGAAGAAACATTTCCATGTTCAATGTTATTAAAGTTATTTGTCACAAGTGCCCATTGAGATCGAGACTATAGCACCATTTAAAAGGAAATTGGCTAAACATTTGAAGAGAAAGAATATAAAAGGGTGCGGGAAAGAAAAATGGTTTAGAATTAGAGAACTCCAGAGAGGGAGCTTGCACTAGCATAGACCTGAGGAGCAGAATAGCCTCTTCCTGTGCTGTTATTTCTAGGATTCTGGGCCAAAATTCTATTTGTTAAAATCAGGTAGAAGTTTGGAGCCTAACAGCCTGAGCTTGTTTGTCCTTATTGATTATGTCTCTTGCTTTTATTCGCTTCCAGTCAGGAGAGACAGCGAATGTATCCGAGGGGACTCCAGGCTCATCTTCCATTCCACAGATGGTGGCAAAGCGGGCTCTGCGAGACTTTGTTGGGCTGGAGGATTGTGACAAGACCACGCGAGATGCCATGCTGAACTTCAGCTTTTATCTAACCATCGGGGACATGGATGAGGCGTTCAAATCCATTAAACTCATCAAAAGGTGAGGCTTTTTTTTCTTCTCTGAAGTTAAGTGAAATTGACAAAGCAGAGTGTTACTATGTCAGACTTGCTGTGTAATTCTTCTGTCACTGGCACAGAATGTTTGGCATCACTGGGTTTGTATCATTGGGACAGGGAAGTTTTGAGATTTCTGGAGCAGACGGTTTTGAGAATTCTGTATTTTACGTAGTAACATAATGTGTGTGTGTGTGTGTGTGTATGTGATAAATTCTCTCCTTATCCCCTTTGATTCTCCCCCCACGCCCCTAGCTTGGGTGCCCAACCAGCATAATCTTTGCGACGTCCTCCCAGAGTGAAAAGCATTATACATAAGTGTAAACCATATTACAGGTTTTAAATTTAGCTCACATGAGAGATTTAAAATATTATAGTGCACACATGCTCTGTACTACAATTGTACAGTCACTGCTTTTTAAACACAATTTAGCCCTTTTTTTCTTGGCCCATAATGCTGTGAGCGCTCCATGACATTACCCCATGTGAACGGCGCCATATAAATGCACCTTGTTGTTGTGAGACAGTGACCTATCAAATATACTTCGAATTCTGTGTTGTACATTTTACATGATGGTAGTTAGTACAGGTAATCCCAATAGTGGCTGCTTGCCCTCTGCTGTCTGAATCAAGTCAGCAAACTAGATCCAAGGTTTGGGTTTTAGATAAATACCAGCGCAAATTACACAAGCACTTAGTACAGGTATAGCACAGCTGTCACAGTGAAGCATGGGCATGGGTACAGCAGTGCCTAATTATCTGATCTCTAAGACTGATTAACCCTCATCCCTGCTGCTCGTTTCTGTGCTTTGTGGTGTCCATGAGCAGTCGGGTTCGGCCCCTTACCCTCGCGTCGCTCTCTCCGTTTCATTAATGTCAGAGGAAAAAGCAAAAAAGTAGTCTCATACAAACAGGATTTTAGGCAAATCATTATTTCAATGCAAGGTATAAATTATATGTATAGTATTATATCCTATGGAAATTAAAGTTTAGATTATCCATCTGGTTTCTTTAATGATGGTTGTGATAGCAGAGATCTCATTGATGGGAATGTTGTGCATCTGAGAGAGTGGCTGGTTAGGTTCAGAGCTGGCAGGCAGTGAGGTGGGCTGTGTTCTGTATCTCTCACCCCGCAGGTGGGCACTCCTTCACCCAGTTACCTGCATAGCTCATTCAATAGCTTGAAAACCTCATTACAACATCCTGAATATTTCCTCCATCACCATCTCAACAGGGCGTGTTGGCTCGGATATAGAGCAATTGTTTACTTGAAATATGTGCTCCTGAGCAGGTCCCGGCAGACCTGTCCACTTATAGCTTATTCCATTCAGAACTTTGTGCACAAGCCATCCTGGGACCCAACTTCAGTATCTGCTCCCCCCTCTCACACCCAACCCTCCAGTTGCTGGCATTGGGTGGTTGTTAGATCCATGGTTAATAACAGAAGACGAGATCCCGTGGATCCCGCACGCTTGTGCACCGCTGGTGCTTCTCAGCACGGCGACTCCACATAATCGTTTTCAAAGCGGGGTCTGAAGCGTGCGCTGAGAGAGCGGCGGATTACGATGACACGAGGCGCCAGGCAGTCCTCCCGGCGATGCAGGATGTTCCAAATCAGCATGGCAGCCGCCAGGGTCGCGGCAAGGCAAGCTCCGATGTCCAGGTAACAGGACCAGGACAGGTGTGTGTAGGGACCAATCCGGTAGAATGTCACCAGCCCAATCACCAGAACGAAACCTAGCAGTGAGGAGAAAAAAAATAAGAGTACTCAAAGGTTTGCTGCACATCAACACTCTCTCTTTTCCCACTGGCCGAACAAACCATGCACTTAATAATCCCAGAATCCATACATTGACTGATACATCCCACATACACTGATTGACGCACACAAACATGCACAGATTGACGTAGAAAATTAGATATAGAGAAGGCTAATAGTCCTAATTGAACCTTTTCCATCACAGATCATTCCACGGTATGTTCATCTCACACACACATGCACAAATGAACTGACACAATGAATTAACAATGTATTACTGACTGACATGCCCATTGAGAGACATATGCATCGCACATATTATCTTTCCTAGAAGGCCATTTGGGAAGAATTGGGATATTTAAAAGGGCCATTGATAGATACTTGGGAGGTAGGTTAAAGGGCATGAAGCAAATCTAGGGAAATAGGATTATAAAACATCTGCAAACTAATAAAATGGCAGAGCAGAAGTTTCTCATGCACATTCTGCCAATGGTGTTCTGAAGCTGTGTAATCCAGTTAGTTTGCTCCTCCCTGTTCTGCCTGCTTCTGGACTGTCCGGTGGAACATCGTTCATCAGCTGAAGGCAGGAAACCAGCTTGGAGCTTCCACCAGGGCCCAAAATAGCCATTTATTTCAGTTCAGTCATTTCCCTTCACAGGCCCTGTGCGTGAACTATGAAATCAGAAAAAGTACAGGGCGGAGATCCCACAGCCCCCACCCCACCACACCCCCATATATAAGCGTGTGTGTATAAATATATAATACACACATATACTTCCAGCCCCCTCCTGTTTACATATGTGTTTGTGTATAACCTGTGTACGTGTATGTATGTTTGTGTGTATATATATACACTCACACATATTCCCAGTCCCCTTCCCTCCCAGGTAGGCAGACACTTTACCAAGTCCCCCTTCTCTCCTAGTACATGTGTGTCTGTATACAGCTATATGTTGCACTTTAAACTTGGGGGATATACTTCATCTACATTATAGAAAAAGCTATTCTTTTTGTTGAAACTCAATTTGAAATAAATGTTTTGTCTGAGAAATTGAGCATGTTCTGGTCTGCCGATAAAGCTTAAGTGCTCTGATACACAGCCCTGAGTGAAGGGAAGGGCACTATATAAATGCAAGTTGTTGTTGTTGTTGAGTGTTTGGAGTTGTAATTTTCTTGGTAGTGAGTAATGCCACTTTCCCCCCACCCCCAGTTAATGATTGTGTCGGGTTTGCAAGTTACACAGGTTACTGCATCACCTGGGCAGCCTAGTGTACACACCTGGAGAGTCCTAACCTGCTGCTGTCCACCAGAGCACAGGAGAATCCAATCTTGCCAATTGACCCTTCTGGTTGAGAACATTCATTGACCATCCTCATAGAATAATAATAATTAATCGTTGTATTTGATATAGCTCCTTATCACGTCTTCGAGCCGTTTCAAAGCGCTTCACGGAATATACTGTAAACTGATTGATTGTATATTTTGTGGGTGAAATGGCAGCCAATTGCGCTCAGCAGCGTCCCCACAAACAGTTGTGGATGAAGTGAAGAAAAATTGAACTGACCAATTTTTTATTATTTTTGAAGGAATTATTATGCCCGGAAAATTGATCCTCCATGCAATGCAATGCAATGACCCACAAAAATCCCTGGGGTGAATGGTAATTAACCTGGAGGGTATTTTATGGCCAGGAGAAACATCTCTTCTCTTATCATACAGAGTCAAGAGATCTTGTCAACATAGAAATTCACAACACAGAAGGCTATTTGGCCCATCGTGTCTGCCCTGGCTCTTTTCAGAACAATCCTTTCAGTCCTGTTTACCTGCTCTTTCCCTCCATATTCCTGTAGTTTACTCCCTTTTAGGTGTTTATCGACAAGAATAACAACTTGCATATAGCGCCCTTCACCAGGTAGGGTCTCAGCGCACTTAACTGTAGTGTGGTTTGACGCTAAGCTGGAAAGAGAGGGAAATGACTGAAGGTGTTCAAGCATTCGATATGCTAAATGAACTGTGTGTGAAAAAATATATTACAACACAGCAGCCATTCCAGGCTGATGTTTTTCTCCACATGGGACACCTAATTGAATCCTACTTCTCTGTTCACACCCCCATTATCTTTAATATTCCTCTTGTCAAGCGTTTATCTAATTATCTTTTAAAAGACAACTTTCCTGCTATTTAACTTGTGTTTTACCCTCGTACTCTCAACAGCAAAAATAATATTGAGTGTGCACCAGAATAACACTGGGTGAGCTCATTTGCTGCTGTAGTACATTGGAGAACTCAAATAATGAACTATCACACTACCTTGTGTCCCTCTATTTCAAATGAGATGCTTGAGATCTCAATTGGCTGTGTAAGGGCATTCTTGCATGAATTCTGCACACATTTCTACTCGTTTATTGTGCATCCCCACCCACCACATACATTACTACATATTTCCTCTGAATTCCGATGTGTCCTGTACATTCACCATAAACTTACTGTACTGGAGATTTTCTGTACAGTGTTAGGGTGGGGAGGGGGCATTTAGCTCATCATGTCTGTGTCACTGCTACCTGTTTTTCTAAATTGTCTTGTTTTTATTATATTTTCCAACTAATTTCTCGCACCCTTAATATCTTTACTGCTCAGGGACGTGTCCAATTTCTTTTCGGACGATTCTATTGACGCTATCCATTCCCATGTGTCCTATACCGTATATCTGCATTCCAACATGCATGACACTTCCCATGTGCCCAGCTCTGTAAAATATTGTGCTCCACAAGTACTTTTCTCTTTTGTATTAAAAATGCAGCCTGTTTAAGAATGAAGTGCTGGGCATGTAAGACAGCTAAGTACCGATACAGCAGAGAAGCCCCCCTCAACCTTTTCAGGACTACTGCAAGAGGCAAGATATGTTGGTTTGCAAGTGTTGAACATATTTTGAGGCTAGGTTTAGAAAAAACACAACATGGCATTGACATGACACAGACACAGAATAATATAAACACAGCACAATAAATACCCACACAAAGTGACACAGACACAGAGTACCCACGATACAAAGGATACAGAGCAGCTGCTCTATTACATTGACAAAACTTTTTGAGCCCCAGTAATAAAGTTGCAAATGTCATGTTGATTTCACCCCTTGTGTGGTGCACTACTAGGTGAGTGCCATGTGGATAGTTTTTGAAGGCTGCATTGAAATGTGAGTGATTGCACGTTACTGTTAATTGTGAAAGTGGGATTTCCCTTTGGCTACAGACATCACCTGATACTCAAAGCCTTTACGTCTGCTAAATTAATCTAATGTTCAAATATTTTATTGCACCCATATAATATTCAGAAAATTTTATTACTGTAAGGAGATTTGTGAGTACAGCAGAGAGCGCTGCTCTGACTACCAGCAAAGCTCCCTCTGCTCTGCAGAGCTTCAAGGCTCCTCTTGCGTAACAGGTAACAACAGGCATTTCCTGCTTCTGGATCGGGATATCCTGGCGCCCTCCAGTCGCTCATCGCACTTCGCACAGACATTGGGCAGCGGGTGCAGATTGTTGGGAGCTAAAATTAGCAGCTACACAGAATGACAGGCCAGCTCACTGTTACTGTAGCAGCGCAGAAACATGCAGCTAGCTTCCTCTACATAACCGATTGGCACAGGCTCCTCCTGGGAAGGATTTATATTAAACAAACGTTGAAGAAGAAATGCCACCTGGATCTAGATTTACTCTATTTTCTTAGCATTTCAGAGCACACAGTACTAGAATAAAATAGTGTCTCACAAAACGTGACTGTTTGATTCCGTCTTTGCACCTTCTTTTTTTGGTCAATTTATGTTAGTCATGAAATCTGGGATTGCTTACAATGCTATCCAGTAACTTGGTGACTCCCTGCAGCAGCATGACTGAGATCAGGGCCTGTACTGCTGTACTCCTTACTCTCTCTCTCCCTCTTTCAGCAACCAGGCCTACAGCTCTCCGGAATAACCTTCCAAATTATCTTTGCCATGCCTCTATTTTTTCCCTCTGCCTTTATATTCCTTCGACTATGTCTCCAGTCAAATATATATATACACATATATAGAGTATATAGTTTGGGAGTATATAGTATAGGACATGACATGTTAAACGTCAGGATGGTGGAAGGCAAACTAGATGGATTTTGGTCTTCTTTTGTCTAGCAAATTCTTATGTTCTTAATGACCAGTCAGGACAGTAGTGTTGCACACTGACTGAAGAGCACAGTGCTGCACCGATTCGTACACTCATATCCGACACCCCAGCTGCTCACAGGTAAGAGTAAGGTAAATGAGTTACTCACTGGACAGCTGGAACAGGGCTGCTATGGCTTCTTCCCACCACTGCGAATCCTGGGTAATCAGTGGCAGCTCCACCAGTCCCAGCAGGAAGATGAGCTGACCTGCTGTTAAGGCTACTGTGGCAATCAGGTTACAGGCTCGCATCATGTCAAACTGAACTGTGGAGAGGGAAGACACAAGACTGAGTATGCCATTTTGTCAGTTTGTAGTTCTATTACCTCAGGACAAAGTACTGAAAATATAATGTTCAAACAGGAACGAACCACTGAAATAAGAATCCAAGCATTTGAAACCAATCCTGTAATGAAATATAAGAAATGATGTACGGCTAGAAATTGGGTTAAACAGCCACAAGCCCTGAAACTTGACCAGGAACCTAGTGCACCTGTAGACTGGCCCACCAGGATCGTACGACAACCCATTGTGACCGGTGCATGTGATCTGTCCCACACTGAAAGCGGTCCTGGACAACGGGGATGGTGGGGCTATGTTCCAAGGATACTAATTATATTTTGGATGGTTTAGTGGTTTGGAATAAATAGTAGCTTAGTGAATTATTCTTAAAACATTGATTGGTCTTTCAAATAAAGCAAGTTTCTGACACCTCTTCTAATTTTGCTCTCTAATTTCCAGTACTGCCTGTGATCCTATATTTTCTTTATCAATCCCGTTAAATAGTTTGTTTCAATGAAGTAACAACATAAATCCTTCTATGAGAAACAATAATTCAATACATCCACCCCTTAGGGACTCCCAAGAAAAGAGAATGGTAAGTAAGGGGTTATCTCATAGACATTTCCAAAGCGATAAATAGCTTTAATAGGGTAAATAGTGCTCAGCTTGCCTTGAGTCTAACCCAAGGTCAAATTAATGTTGGGTGAGTTTTTAGAAAACACGTGACTCGAAGCATTAAAGAGCTCCATTGTAGAGTTTCCAACCTATATATTGTCTAGCTGAAGATGTTTTATTGAACAAGAAGGAAACTAACTGAAAAGCTCTCTTGTGTTGTATAGAGTATTAGTGATGAGCATTGCGGACAGTATGTTCATGTGCGATAATCGGAATACATGAAAGGGATTATTAACCCCCGGTAAAGTGATCCAGAGGAGACCGAGTAGTTAAGCTGACACATTAATAATAATAATCCTATCATTTGATATAGCGGCTTCTCACAACGTTGAGACATTTCAAAGCACTGCATGGAATATACTGTAAAGTGAATTGACTGTACATTTTGTGCATTAAAATTGAAGTTAATGCTCATAGCACACATGGATGATATTTGCAAGATTTTGTTGGAAGAGCTGCCAATTATCCTGTTAACGCCATACTAGACAGGAAACCTTCCCTGTTAGGAATATTAGAACTGAACAGCAGCCAACCTGAGCCACACAGCTTCCAGAGTTGGAGATCCACTGCAGTCTCCATTAGTAGACAGCTTGGCTCCTCAGAAGATTGCACACATTTCTCTTTGAGGTTGCAGACACCTTAATTGCATCACAGAGGCATCTGCGCTGAATGTTGGGAACAGGCAGTGGGCACGTTTATTAGATGTCAGTTTGGGCCATTTAGTCGCACTCTCACATCTGGGTGAGAAAGATGTGCAAACCCCCTTTGAAACTTGAGCTCACTCCTGTGCATGATCCAATAAAATAATAGCACAGGTTTGTCAGCTGAACAACTACTCTTCCTGTTCCTAAAAGCAATGGAACGAATAACTAATACACCAGAGATTTTTGAGAGTGTGAATTTAGATGAGGAAGGAATATTGACCCAAGATACTGGTAGCATTTCTTGCAGTCAATTTACTGTATATCCTGTGAAGCGCTTTGAGATGTCTTAATGACGTGATGAGGCGCTATAATAATAATCGTTGCATTTGATATAGCATCTTATCACATCTTTGAGACATCTCAAAGTGCTTCACAGAATATACTGCAAAATGAATTGACTATATATTTTGTGGGCGAAACGAAATGCAAAGATTATTATTATCAAGCTTTATCATTATTATTATCAAGGTAGTTTGGGACATATGACCATGCGACCGCCAGCAAGGTGGAAGCCGAACTAAATGGAGCATGGTCTTTTTTCATCTAGCATTTCTTATATTCTTATGTTCTTAAGCCTGTTCCAACACTTTATTAGAACATGGCTGATCTGCAACTTAATACCATTTCCCTGCCCTTTCACCATATCCCTTGATACCCTTACCTACCAAGCATTCATCATCCTCCTTGTTAAATAGTTCAGTTCACCTGAAATACTATGCCTGCTGTACCTAGTTTTGACTGTTTGTGGGACACTGCTGTGCGCAATTGGCTGTTGCGTTTCGCCCACAAAATATACAAGTCAATTCACTTAACAGTATATTCTGTGAAGCGCTTTGAGACATCTAGGAGATGTGATAAGGCACTATATCAAACGCAAGGATTATTATTATAGTGTACAACACGCAGGAAAGATATCAGTGACGACCTGAATGACCTGGAAGTTTCCACATTTTTGCACTTCGATTTAGTGCAGGGGCTGAAATTATGGGCCCAAACCACAGTGTCAAACACAGTTGGCTGGTCTTTACCAATCCACACCAATCAGTGGTTTCTGCACCCTTATTTCCCCCGTGTAAAGTGGCAGCAGAATGCAGTAAGGTTAAAGGGTTTGCTTTGGATGCCCAGCATTGGCAACAGCACTTTCCGTAAACAGTAAAGGTTTAACTTCTGTAACACCTGTCAACATCCTCACAGGAAAGATAATAATATAATAATGATCGTTGCATTTGATATAGCGCCTTATCACGTCTTCGAGACATCCCAAAACGCTTCACACAATATACTGTGAAGTAGTGACTGTGTGTGTATGTGTGCGTGTGCATGTATAATGTCTTGTAACTGTTTCCCCCCACTGTATTGGAGTTGTGTACACTTACGTTTGACTGTACTGCGAGATTCCTGAAATCCAGGGTAGTCCGATCCCCAGCCCAGGCTCTCACACTCACGTTCCAGCGTCTGTCCATGCTTGCTTGTCCCTTTGCCTCTCTCGTAGCACATCTTCCACAAGCCCACACTGCGCTTTCTCCCATCCTCCAGCGCCTGGTACACCCAGTTTGGAGTGAAGGCCGCCACATTGTTCAAAATCAGAGACAGCAGTGCAACTGCCACAGCAGTGGCTAGTAGCTTTCTGACAGCCATGGCCTTAATCTGGAGCCCTCTGTAGTTAACAGCTCCGCACGCCTTGTTATTCCCACGCTCAACCACGTCTGCATTGACCGTGCAGTAGAGTCAAGAGCTGCTAGGGCAGGTGAGCTTCCATCTTCTTATCTGACAATATCAGCATTGAATTCCAAATGTTATACCGGCTGCTCCAGATTACCAAGTACCAAGTGCCTTTATCCACCCTCTTGGGCTTTCTTGACCGGAGATGCAGCAGTGAGAAGCTGGTGTGCACACAGGTCCATTGCTTTGTTACAAAAACAAGCACACCAACTACAGGGCCCACAATGAACCTGAGAATCCTGTTAGTGCTGGCCTCAAGCACCTGTCTGCAGCTTGCTGAAAGCCAGTGTAAACAGCCTTGTGTACAGTCCTGACACTGAGGCAACCCTTCCCTGGAAAGTGAAATATTAAGCTCTGCGGTGAAGTAATCCTGATATGAAACTGCAATTTGTGCGTCTTCTCGCAGTACACACCGTGCTAGGCTGGGCACAGAGCTGCCGGGATACCGGGAAACGTTCTGAAATCAGAGGAAACGGTTGTTTTTCAGGCTGTTTTGGTGAGCATTAGGGCGTTGCTGCTGCAACAAACACTGAGCACTGGCACTTCAGTCAAACATTAACAGGATGCGTTTCCTTTGAGGAAGGGACCCAGAGCACAATCAAAGCATCGCTTCCAGCTCCTGGCTGGAATGAGATGGAAACAGCTCCACTTCTTCTCCTGTGTCCTGTTCTACGGACAAGGTCACTGTGGAGGAAATGGGGCATGTCACAAAAATGGCCCAAGAGTTTATCTGCTCGTCTACCCCATAGTAATCCCCCAAATATCTTCATTATCAACATCTGCGACTCTTACAGACATTAAAATTAAAATCTGAAATGCTGAAAATGCACGTTCAGTAACTTAGCAACTGGAAGGAGAGAGATAGGCTCAATTATTGTTGGTCACATTTCGAGTGCAGCCTACAACAGAACATGCTGCAATAACATCCAAAATATAATCCCAGCATATTGCATTATTTTATCATGTTAGACCATCGCACAACTATTCTAGTGACGCTTGTTGTCGAGGCTCATTCATAAAGATGGGAGACTTATGCAGGGTCTTAGAGTTTCAGCAACTGTGGAACCTCACCTAAGCACGTCAGCACCTTCAATGAGAGGAGGAAAGAACAAGTAAAAGAACAGTTGTAGATATTGAAAAGCCTCTCAAATGCACTGCTGCTGTAATAATAATAATCCTTGCATCTGATACAGCGCCTTATCACATTGTCGAGATGTCTCAAAACACTTGAGTGTGTGAAGCTGCTAACTGTAAATTTGTGTGGATGTATATGCATATATATAGCAACCCTTTGCACACCAAGGCAGAAAGTATTTGTATGGTAGATGCCCTGTATTAAGTAGAGAGGATTGTAATGTAAGATGATTTGTGTTGAGCTTGTGACTGCCGCCAGTAGATTACAATGAACTATTCTCTTGTTGCATGTAATTGATCATTACTGTCCCCACCACAAGCCCTTCGGCTCGTTTTACACTGTCCCTCACCATGGACGTCAGCGGAGCCCCATGTTCACATCTGCTGCCCATTGAAAACCCAGTTGCTATTTCCTGTAGGTTAGATACATGTGTTTGTCATTGTGTGTAAGTCAGAACACAGGAAGAACCAGGAGCATTGGAGAATGGATTTTCCACAGTCTTTCTGGGTTAACCCTTGCTTCAGCAGAAAGCTATATATAGGTTTGGACAGAATGTCCTGGGATTGCCAGGCTTGAGGGCAAGTGCACTTTCCACTTTAAATGTCAAGCTGTCGACATGCTGACGGCAGCCATGTGGAGTTTACTTACTGCAATAAGCAGTATGACTCTGGTGTGGAATACACTGCAATAGTACTGTATCCTTATGTGAATCTCACTCTGGTAGATTAACCCTATGGTATGAAATTTGCTCCCAATAGTGTATCCGTGGTGTGGACCTCACGGCAATAGTGTATCCTTGGTGTGAAACTCACTCCAATAGCACTGTCAACCCTGGTGTGAAACTCACAACAACAGTGATCAAGTCAGAATGTGGAAATCTTCTGCATATCCTCAGCAGCCTATATAGAGCTTCCTTTTGTACAGCCCATGTAGTTTAACGATCAAGCAATCTGCTAACACCCAGGTAACAGCTGCCAGTTCTAGTGTAACCCCAGTCATCCCCTTTAACCTTGGCTCCTCCAATCTTTCCAAGTCTTTCTATGTCACCAGGTTCTTATATGATCCCAGTAAATTTCAGTTGCACCCTCTCTATAGTTATCCTTTGTGTAATGAGGGGTACATTATACTGGGTACATTATTACACTAACTTCAGCATAACCAATACCATCTCTATCTATGCAGACAAATTCCCTTTAATACTAATGTTTGCAAATAGCCTCTCATATGGCACCTTATCAAATGTCTTCTGGAAATCCATATAAACAACATCTACTCAATTCTCTTCATCTATACATTCTGTTATTTCCACCAAAAATTCTGTTTATATGAGCCAGAAGTGACCTCCCTTTCACAAGCACATCCTGGATGTCCATGGATTACTATATCCCATAGTAGCCCATGTCTCATGTCTCTTTAAGTGATTTGGTTCCTTATTGTGAACTCTGGAAGTTTATACACAGCTGATGTGAGACTAATTGGCGCATTATTATCCCTCTTCTCGCTTCTTGACTGCCGCATGTACACCGTCTCTAAGTCTATTAAAAAGGAGTAAACTATAGAGTATGGGGAAAGAGGTAGGTAAATGGGGCTGAAAGAATGGCTCTTACTAGAGCCAGCAAAGATACAATGGGCTGAATGACCTTCTTCAGTGTTGTAAATTTTTACGATTCTATCATAACACCATCCAGTGCAGTAACCTAAACAACCATTTTATATTCCATTCCGAGTCTGGAAATGTGGCATAAACAGGAGGCAAGTGCTGTATTTCCAAGTGGCAGGACTTTTACCTTCCCTATAGAAGCTGCTTTTCAGAAGGTCTGAGTAATCAGGGATAGCAATGATCAGTTATCGCCTTTGGAGCCCTGTCTTTTCTTTGATCACTCACACTTGCACCAACGGCTGATCTAGACTATGCTCCTTGGGGGAGAGCTAAGCAAGGTCTCCTCGGAACTGAGCTGACTCCAAGGTGAGATCTTAACACAGAATGTTGAAATTAAGTCAGCCCTCTGGTGGTCTTGTTTGTCGGATTCCTGAGTACGAGAGGCTAGGGAACTGCTTATGACTAACTAACCAATCTTGCTCATTGGCAGGATGTGGAGCAGGAGACTGTGACCAGAGATCATTCCTACTCAGCTCCAGTCACAGCCCTAATCAGTAGGGTTGGTCTTAGCTGAACAAGTAGCTAGAAGTTTGCCAGGGAGTGCTCTGGATGGGAAGTTATGCAGTTTTAGCTGGTTAAACCTTTTTAAAATTTTGCCAGCCCACACTCTGGAATCCCCAAACCATGGCTCCTGCCAAATCCACTTAATACTCTCCAGAATTAAGTAAGAATGTGCATCCCTTCAGGGAGAGAGTGCATTCCGTTCCAGACACATGGAAATTTTGATCCGTATGTAGAACTCTGTCTGGTATGGATAATCTTAAACATGGTGATGGGTTTCCTCATGGGTCAGACACCAGGCTGACCAAAACAACCCCAGTTGATGTGACTGAGTTGGTTCCTACTCGATTTAGAGTCAAGAAAACTAGATGTTGTATGTCTTTAGTTGCCTCTGGAGACAAACAAGTGTTGTAAGAGTTTAGTTTATTGATTGGCGTGGGATTGACATCTTTGTTATCCATTGGCCTCTGCATAAATGTAAAAGAATCTCCCAAAGATAAATAATTTACTCTGTTTCCCTCAAACGAATGGTCAGCGATGCAGAAGCGTTCGTCATCCTTTCATCTTACTGTGGATTCAGACTTTGAGGATTCTAATTTATGAATGATTCATTGGGATTCAGCTGGTTTTAACCATTTAAAGAATGGCATTTCCTTTTCAGCCTTCGAGTCTGCTTTCAATTACACAATCTGGAAACCATCCTGCCTTTGGACTGCAAAATATTCCAGAACAAGCCTGGGGAATGCAAACCAGAAACTATTTTCTTCCAAACTAAAGTCAGCTTTGATCTTGATCTTGCTGCTTGTGGCTGTGTTCACTATAAAATGTTACAGAATGCTATCCAAGTATAGGCAGCAAACTCAATTTGAAAAAGGAGTTCCCACGCTATTTTTGAATCCTAAATCATATGCGATGAGAATTACTCAACAAATATTGGACTTAAATGTGTAAAACGTAAATATTGGAGATGTATATTATATACTGTGGCTTTTCTTTCATTTTTAAATAAAGGACAGGCCTCTTGTTTTGAAGCTAAGGGCACATGGTATTCTTGAGTACTGTAAGTAACCAACATTCTGAGACATTTCGCACACAAAACATACATATATAAAATATATATATAAAAATATATATATATAAAAAATATAAAATATACACTTTACAGTATATTCTGCGAAGCGCTTTGAGACAATTCAAAGACGTGATAAGGCTCTATATCAAATGCAAGGATTTTTATTATTATTATTATCCCGATGCTTAAGATGATGTCTTAATCATGTAGGTGCCAGTGTCCTTGTGACTTCAGTGGCCTTGTGAGTGATGCCAGAGCCTTAACGACACTGATATCAGTTTTGTTGCGATGCCTGTTTCACAGTGATTGAAACAGAAATTTTCTACATAGACGAGGGCCAATTGGCTTGCCATCATGTTTTGCCACTGCTATCCGTTTTTTTCTTTGTTGCTCCAGTGGATGAGGCAAATTTCAAAGCAACAGGAGGTTCATCTGCTGTACAGAACAATATCTAACCCACAGAATACTAGCTGCAAAGAATGCCAAATGACCAGGAGACAGCATCATGCTGCAGAAGAAAGAGAGCTTGTATGTAATAAGGAAAGGCTATTGAATTACCGGGTCTGGTCGGGATGTGGTCCTGAAGTGGCTTGGGTCACGAAGCACAGGCAATGATTCCCTCCTAGATGCAGAGACTTGACGAGATATGGTGGGCGTTATAGCATGCAGGCGTGCACATGCACAAGGTCTCAGCTCAGATAAACAAGCAGCTTTCCTTTAGTGTGAGGCTCCGGGATTAAGGCTGCAGCCTCTGTGCTGCTGGCTCTCTAATCACACAGGCAGCAGCAACAGCAGCCCCCAGCTGGGAGTTCTGACATACAGGAAACCAGTCTGGAAGAGGGGGTGGGGCAGGGAGAAGGAAACATGTTAAATGGCATCAAAACCGTCAGGAAAACATAATAAATTGGCTGATTGATTCAGCCTCTGCCTCTGTGTGAGGAAGAAGATTAGCTTTACCTGTCGGTTCATGAATTTTAAACTCACTTTAGAAACAATGGATAATTGGCTGAAAGGGGAAATAAACAATAGCCTGACGGGGAGTGAGGGTGTTATCTGTTGGGTTGCTGTGAGTATCTGCATTCAAATATTATGTGTTTCTACTTTTAAGTTGCTGTATATACTTGTATTGGGATACTGTGCATATCTGCATTAAGATGTGTGTATCTGTGTCGGGATGATGTGTGTTTCTGTTTTGAGGCCTGTATTGGGATACTGTGTGTGTTGTTCTGCCGGTGATAAATTATAATAATCCTTGCATTTGATGTAGCACCTTATCACATAGTCGAGACGTTTCAAAACGCTTAACGGGATACACTGTAAATTGAGGACAACGATCTTGAATTGTTTTTTGGGGGGAATGGGGGGATAATGTAATCAGGCGAGGATGGGGGTGACAGGCTCACAGAGCCTTGGAGCAGGAGAGGTCACCTGCTGCAGAATGTTGAATAGTCTGCAATTTATGGAGTTAGGAAGAGCAGCGAGCAGAGAGGTATAGTCCAGCCTGGAGGTGATAAAAGGGTGCCAGGTGTCAATCTGCCAATTTAATTACTCCTTTAGGTGCTGGAGGGCTAGAAACTGGGAAGCGCTTTGTTCCTAGTACTAGCACAATTGGCAGCCACTTGCAGTTGGTGTTCGAGACCCGGTACACCCCCAAGTTTCGGTGATGCTCTTGGGAATTACTGCACAGTAATTCCTGTTATCCTCCCTGTTATCAACTGCGATACTGACAACAGAACCCGAAGTTCTCTGGATCCCTTGTGAATCACGGATGTAGTGAACCAAGAAATATATCCTCAGCCCACCTCAACAGCCCCTACTTCTTTCTCAACCATCAACAACCCCTCCCCCCTGCTCGGCATTGTCCAGTGCTTCCTTCCCATGGATCACCATGCTACTGAGGCTTGGCTGAGAAACGTGGGCAGTACCAGACCCATCATGAAGCTGCTGCCGATCGTGAGACAGTGGTCTGATATTTACAAAGTATATCTGGTCCTTTTCCATTCAGTCTTGTTCTGAATGAGCCCAATGTGTCTTTATGCCAGCGCCCAAGAGAACTGTATGATGGCAGCAGCCATCGTCTCATTCTCTCTTTCTTCCTGCAGTGAAGCTGTGTGGGAGAACATGGCCAGGATGTGTGTGAAGACCCGACGCTTGGACGTCGCCAGAGTGTGTCTGGGGAACATGGGTCATGCCCGCGGTGCCAGGGCCCTGCGGGAGGCTGAGCAGGAGCCAGAGCTGGATGCCAGGGTGGCCATGTTGGCAATACAGCTAGGAATGCTGGTACGGACAGAGCAACTCACACAGAAACACACACACGATACACACAAGAACCTCCTTTAAACCACTGAACACAATCTGTATGAAATTATGATCTACCTTAATGCCTGTAATACCCACTTCATTTCCACCAACATTCAGAGCACTCACATAGAAACACTTGTCTTCCCTCTCTCTCCCCTGGCAGAGAAACACTTTCCCCAGGCTGATAGAGAAATACAGTACTCCCTGTTCTGACAGAGTAACATTCCAGCTCTCACACCATGATGTATAAGAGTCTTAAATGTACATGGATGTGCAAGCTCCTGGTTCAGGCAGGTTGTTAAAGAAACAAGCTGTGAGAGAATTGCTTAACTTTATTGCTATGTCTGCAGGAGGACGCAGAAAGGCTTTACACAAACTGTAAGCGATTTGATCTTCTGACCAAGTTTTACCAGGCTTCGGGGCAATGGGAGAAAGCCATCAGCACGGCAGAGAAGTCTGATCGCGTGCACCTCAGAACCACTTACTATAACTATGCAAAGCACCTGGAGGCCATGGGAGAACAGCACCTTGCACTCAGCCAGTAAGTATGCCCTCCGCAAGTAAGTGTATGATCGTTCAGTATTTATTTCCCGACAGCTTCCCAGCTGAGATCAGTAATTCAGTATTGATGCAGGACTGCACTAGCCAGTGCCTTTATCCAAGACATTGGGGAATTAAGAGGTGATATTCATCCCACTGATCTGACTGAATTTTACTCCAACCCCAAAGAGGACTATTGTGCCTCACTGCACCACCCAGTTCCAAGTTGCGTCCGTGAGGTAAAGGTCTGTACAAACAACAACAACAACTTGCATTTATATAGCCCCCTTCACGCAGGGTAGCGCCCTGGAGCGTTTGCCAGTGGTGGAGTCTGACTCCAAGCCGGGAGGACAGAGTGACCGTAAGCACAATGAAAAAGGAAAGTTTTTAGGTGGGATTTGAAAGTGTGTGTAACTGTGCACGTCACGTCTCTGGTTATTACGTCCCTGACCAATATGTCCCTGAACGGCGTGTTTCTGTTTTCTCTGTGCAGTGTGTTCCTGCACAGTATCAACTGGATTGCTGTTAGTTTGACAAGCTGGATTGTTTTGTATTAACAGCTATGAGAAATCAGATACGCATCGCTTCGAGGTCCCCAGAATGCTCTTGGAAGACCTGCAAGCACTGGAGATTTACGTCAACAAGGCAAAGGACAAGTGAGTGCTGGCCTACAGGACTGTACATTGCTTCTCTAACCTGCTCCTCTACACTGCTTCTCTGCACTGCTCCTCCACGTTGTTCCTATGAATTACTCCTGAACACTGCTACTGTACATTGCATCTGTACGTTGCTTCTGCAAGCTACACAGTTATATACTAGTCTTATATGCTGCTCCTCTACACTGCTGCGTACACAGAGTTACTACACACAGTCTCTGCACACTGAGCCCCGTTCTTGTTATCGCAGGAGTCTGTGGAAATGGTGGGCTCAGTACTTGGAAAGTCAGGCAGAAATGGATTCCGCCCTGAAGTACTATGAGATGGCCCAAGACTACCTATCGCTTGTCCGAGTTCAGTGCTATCTGGGCAATATAAGCAAGGTGAGGAGGAGGCTGGCACAGTCGTGTCAGCAATCTGATGTAATTGCTGCCATTCTGTTTTTTTTCTGCTTGGCTGAGTGTCGGGCATTTCCACGTGGTTCGATTATATATTTCACAATAATCCTTGTGGCTGCATTTGTCACAATGCTCCTGAAATGTTTTTTCCTTTGTGTCTGGAACACTTACCTCTTTCAGATCCTTTAAAGTGTCTCCCAAACATTTCCAGGGAGAGACACTGGGTAACACCATGAGATGGACACAGGACTTCTGTGTAATGGTCCCAATGCTTTGATTGGAACCTGGGTTTGAATCCAATCCAGACTGATGGATCATAGTTTGCTCTGTGTGCAGGACAATCCCTGTGAAATGAGTGTAAGCGGTCTTGGACTTGGCTCACAGCACAAAACTGCCCGAGATATGGCAATCTCACTCCCACAGAGCACATGGGACTGATGTGCAGAGTTGAAACTGGTGCAGCCTTCAGCATTTAGGAGCTATGCTTTGTATCTATCCTGTGTTGTATCTGACCTGCGACTGCTAGTTGGGACAATTATACAGGTAGCTTTACTCTAATCTATCCCATGACATTGTTGGATGGGACAGTGTAAAGGTAGTTTAACTCTGCAACAAACCTGCACTGTCTCTGACGCAGGAAATGGATGAGAAAGTAACTTTGTGCTGTTCCATTTAAAATTGCAGCCATTTGCTTTAATTCAAACTAGATTCTTGTTGCAATATTTTCTAAAAGCAATTGACAGTCCTAGCTTCAGACAATGACACACTGTGACTCCTTTTAAGGCTTCTGAAATTGCCAATGAGACAGGGAACAGGGCAGCCTCCTATCATCTGGCTCGTCAATATGAGGGTCGGGACAATATGAAACAAGCCATTCACTTCTACACCCGCGCACAAGCCTACAACAACGCCATCCGCCTCTGCAAGGTTAGTCTTCCTTCCTGGCTTCTCTAGCACTTTGCTCTGAGCTCCCTGTCATCCCTTATACCAGGGCTGTTCCACCCAGTCTGTGTCTCTCTGTTTTTCACCTGATTTATCTTTGTTGTTGTCTGATGTTATCAATGGCAAGCTCTGCGTTTTAGATGGTTAAACTCCAGCAGTACTCAGTCGAATATTCTGCAATCCCCAAGTCTTGGCTCCTGTCCAACTTGCACCTAATGCTTTCCAGAATCATGTAATCAGGGTACATCTCTCCAGGGAGAAAGTATGCATTCCATTCCAGACAACTAGGAAATCCCCATGGTTATGTGAAACTCTCAGTCGTATTTGGATATTCTTAAGCATGGCAGCAGATTTCTGGCTGACTAAAAATAAGCATGACGAGGGGTTGCCACATGTGTCAGACATGAGTTTGACCCCAAAACAATTAGAGTAATGATCCAATGCCAAAGATTTTAGCATCTCCCAGTTAGTATGTGTCCACAACGCAAAAACTGGAGACAAATTGGCTTCATTCAAAGAGATCGCAAGCACCATTTTTTTTACAGCAGGGGGCACTGTTTAGACTTTGAAGCTCAGATTTATTGCTGGGTAAGAGCAAAGGGACTGACTGCATCTGATCTAAACTACACCTGACTGGTGTCAGAATTGTGAAAATGTTCTAGTCTTATTCCTCATTATAATTTATACCCTCACCATATAAAAGTACCGTAGATAGGCCAGTACCAGGATTGTTCCCAGAGACAACGGCACAGACCACAATCTGTGTAATGGACCCATGCAATGCTTTGATTGTGCAGGACAATGGCTTGGATGATCATCTAATGAACTTGGCTCTGCTGAGCTCCCCGAGGACATGATGGAAGCTGGCCGCTATTATGAAGAGAAGGGACAGCAAATGGACCGGGCAGTGATGCTGTACCACAAGGTATCACAGCGCTCTCCCCTGCATGAGGGGTGCAATATAAACGCAAGTTGTTGTTAACAGCTAACCCTCGCTCGTCTTCACTACCCCAGTGACCTACACATGCAGCCCAGAGGTGCTACCTGGCATGGTAAGGAACTAGTAATATTTTGAGTGTGCTATAACGCATCGATTAACTGGATCTCCATCCTCTCGCAGGCTGGTCACTTTTCCAAGGCCCTGGAGCTGGCTTTTGCTACCCAGCAGTTTGGAGCATTGCAGCTCATTGCTGAAGAGCTGGACGAGACATCAGACCCCGCTCTTCTCGCTCGTTGTTCTGACTTCTTCATTGAGCACAAGCAGTTTGAAAAGGCAGTGGAACTCCTCGTCATTGCAAAGAAGGTACAAGCAGGCAAACTGAAGGCAAATCTATCATCAGAAGTAATCAGGAGACTATCAAATCCATTCTAGGGTTTCAGTATAAGATCATGAATAAAAATAATAATCCTTGCATTTGATATAGAGCCTTATCACATCTTCGAGACAGCTCAAAGTGCTTCACCGAATACCCTGTAAAGTGTAGTGACTGTATATTTTGCGGGAGAAAAGAGGCAGTGCGCACAGCAGTGTCCCACAAACAGTCGTGGATTGAGTGACCAAATTTTTATTGTTATTATTTATTATTATAGATCAATGTTGACAATTATCCACCATGCTTATGGGGCGTGAGAGGGTTGCTGGTAGGTGAGGAATGGAAAGTGGGGGTATGTGCATGAATGGTGCAGGCAGGTGGGGTGTTTGCTGGGGGGCGAGAGTGCAGAAAGGCTATTACACCAGGGTCCCTTCTCTAGTGCAGATGCTGTCACCACTTTGTGCCTCTGCTTCCAGTACTATGAGGCTCTGCAGCTGTGCCTGGACCAGAACCTGACGATCACAGAGGAGATGGCTGAGAAGATGACGGTGTCGAAGGATTCAAAGGAGCTGGCGGAGGAGATGCGTCGAGAGCTGCTGGAGCGCATCGCGGACTGCTGCATGAGGCAGGGCAACTACCACTTAGCGACCAAAAAGTACACGCAGGCCGGCAACAAGCTGAAGGTGAGCAAACCACATCACTGGGGATGTTGCTTGGGATGCTGCTGGGCGTCATACAGCAGAGCAGCTATAAACATCAGTCTGTTCATCCTCAGGCCATGAGGGCTCTCCTGAAGTCCGGGGACACGGAGAAGATCGTCTTCTTTGCAGGTGTTTCTCGTCAGAAGGAGATTTACATCATGGCGGCCAATTACCTGCAGTCACTGGACTGGCGGAAGGATCCCGAGATCATGAAGAATATCATCAGTTTCTACACCAAAGGTCGAGCCATGGATCTGCTAGCGGGCTTTTACGAAGCCTGTGCACAGGTCAGTTCTTGCCACAATATAGCCAATTAACTGTCTTATGTATTCACCCAATATCTATAGCTCTGTAACTAGCATACAGTACACAAGTCATGTTTGCCCGGAGTGGAGAGGGCAGCAGGGCAGTGCGAGGGCGGAAAATGGTACCAAAGACTCACCTTATGTCTGGAGGGACGAGACTGTTAATCTTCATTCTTCCTTGTGATTGTATTCCGGACTCTGATCTGATGCCCTTGGCTCACGAGTAACTCTCCTCCTTAGGGGGGAAGCTAAGCGGAGACTTTGGTGGTCTCACTAGTCCAATTCTGAGCAGCGGAGAGCTAGCAGTGTTCACAATGTTAAACTCCAGTAGTACCACAATATACACTCTCGGGTTCCCAAGCTTTGGCTCTTGCCAACCTGCTCCTAAACTCAGTGTGTGCTGGATGATTGGATGTAGGAACTAAAGACAGAACACTTCCAGTGTGTGTTTCCTCTGCTGAGAATCTCACTGTTGTTTCTGTCAGGTGGAGATTGACGAATACCAGAACTATGAGAAAGCTTTAGGGGCCCTGACTGAGGCATACAAGTGCATGTCTAAGGCTAAAATGCGGAGTCAGAATGAGCAGGAAGAGAGACTGGGACGACTGCAGAACAAGCTGGCCATAGTGAAGAGATTCGTACAGGTCAGAAGGTGAGAGACACGATATCCAGCCATGCTCATTACAAACAAGAACCACCATAGCACCACAGTAACTAAACACAGGACCAGCTCCATTCCTGCTCTGTAGTGACCGCTTCTCCAAACTGAGGCAGTGTGAATCTTTTTATTTGAACCTCATCTGTGTTTCAAATTTTCCAAGCCTGACCAGGTCCACTTTTTTTCCATCTCCAGAACATCACACCTTTATACCCCTATCTCACTCACCCCCAACATAGCCAAACTCTCATTGAAGCTTTTGTCACCCTCAAGACTAGATATCCTCTCCCTAACATTCAAATTCTTTCATGGTTTCCCCTTATACATTCTGTTCAAGCTCTGTTCCCTTGTCTATGCCCATTACTCTTCCGAATCTGGTCAATTGCTTATTCCTAATTCTCTTTGTTCCACCAATAATGGCCAAGTTTACAACCACTATACTATACTGATAACACTTCTTACAATTGATATAGCGCCATTCACGTCAGGACCCCATCAATTCTCCCCAAATCTTTGTGTCTTGTGCCTTCAAAACCCTCTTAAAAACGGCTTTTTGACAGTTCCTGTGGTCAACACCCTCAGACTCCAGCTCCCAGGGGTATTGACCACAGGAATGGTCAAAAAGGCATGTTTCCTCTCTGCTCAGTGATCCCCATCATCTTGTGCAGCCCTTTGAGGGAATGCTGCTGCTGCTGCAGTTGTTGAGGGTAACGCTGTGCTGCTATGCAGGCTGTATGAAGAGGATGCCATGGAGGCCATAACTCAGTGCCAGGTGCTGCTGGAGGAGCCAGAGCTAGACCTGTCAGTGCGGATCGGTGATGTGTATGCCTTCCTGGTGGAGCATTATGCACAACAGGGCAGCTTCCAGCTGGTGAGTATGAGGAGCATGTGGGTGAGTGTCAGGAATATGGGGGTGGGGGAGAGAGAAAACGTATAGATGTGTCAACAATCTGTTACTCTAGTACTTTGGGGCTTATATGTGAATAATCAGTACAAATATGTCCAGTGTTTGAGGTGCGTTTGAAGGTCTTAAATCTATTCAGTTAAGAAACTGCATGAGAGAGAGCGAAGCCTGGTGTTAGGCAGTGTTTGGCAGTGGTGGTCACAGTGGGCGATTGTTTCAGGGGAGGGAAGTCCTTCGAGCAGAAAATCATCTGAAGACTCTCTGTCACCTTGTGTTACAGGCGTATCAGTGCATGGAGGAAATGCACAAGAAGCTGCCGTCCACCAACGTGGTGTATTATATCAACCAGCACACAGTGGACAGCGTGTGTAAGGCTCTCGGCCTCCCCCTGAAGTGGAGCTCAACAACAGCCGCCGAGCAGATCGAGACCAACAACACCGAGGATGGGGAGGAGGTGGAAGAAGAGGTCCCGGAGGAATCGCTCCATAGCCCAGAGGATTGAGCTGCCTCCGAGACCACAAGAACCCACACCAAAGGCTGGAGCCTCAGTGCTGTACAGTGAGTGCTTGCTGAACCTCAGCTGTACTTCACTCCCAGGTTTCAATGAAATTAAAAATGACACTCATTAACAGCCCCTCCCCCATGTACACAACAGCTCGCACTCCAGTGAGACTGGTTTCCTGCACAAACTGTCAGCCCACAGGAAGTGCCAAGACCTTTTATGACAACCCCCATCCCCCCAATTGGTGTACAGTATATCCTGTGCTCAGCCAACGAATGTGTAAGGCAACTAGAGCAGCCCGGCTTTGCTGTAATGATGTCTCTGATGTCCCTCCATGAACCTGACACACACTCACATCTAAACTTAAGGCTGCTGACTAAGCTCTCAGCCCAAGGTAACACGAACGTCTGGTTTCCATTAGTCCTGCAGCCAAATAACAGGGCCAGACCAGGAGCTGTTTGCATGAGCTGCATTGTGGATTATGACGGTCATTCCAGCTGCACTAGGGCTCCTGCTATCTTATCTTCTCTCTGGGGTTTGTTGAATGTAATTGTTTATTTACACTTTTATATATATATATTTTGGTTAATATTTATTCAATCGATCTTCATATTTGTAATCCAATTTGTATGTTGCAGGATGTCGCAAAACAAACATTCCTTTTCTGCATAAAAATGGAAGTTTTTAAATATTTTGATCGGACCGAAATGGTGAGAGACAACCAATGGCAACTACCTTTGTGTATGTGTTTGACTGTGGTTAGGAGCGTGTGTATGGATATGGTGTAACAAAGAATGTAGAGAACAGTATAACAGATTACAGTATATAGTGTTATACTGACTATGTACTAGGACTGAAGTTTAGCTCAGGTCCCTGGAGAAGAGGAGACTGAACATTGAGTCTGTGTACAGATAGAGAGTGAAAGGAGCAGTGCACAACGAATGACCTGTAGCACATGTCATTTATTGGGCGCTGAAGGATTGAAGCTACCTACACGGCACTGGGACAGAAAGACGGACTAATACCACCATGTTTTGCAATTCATTTATTGAAACAAAGATAAATAAACTATTGTAAATAACATACTGTACACACAATCAACTCACAAGAGAAGGATTGAACATCTGTCTGTCAGCTCGCACCCAGGGTCACGCTCCCAGTTCGGGCCCACATGTTTCTCCTGAACCAATAACCGAAATGCTACTCAAATAGCTTGGCTGGTTACATGGGCCGGGAGTCATCAGTCCAGCTATGGAATGGCTTACGTTACTCTGAGCTGGCACTGAGCACAAAGCCCAACAGCAATGCTGTTAATTTAATGAAATAGTCACTGCTTATTTACCCATATACAATACAAAAAAATACAATATAAAATTACATTTGTATAGCGCCTTTCAATACACTATATACAACTCTATGATTCGTTGTCAATCACAGTGGGAGAATTGGTGTCTGCCCCTCACCAGTGCTCAGGCACTGTGGTTGCTGACGAGATGAATTCATTCAACGTAAAATGTGGCAATAAATCCAACACCAGGAGACACTAGTGACCTCTAAAGGCTTGAGAAGGTGACAGTGGCTTCACTCCAATGAGCTTGGCCTAGCTGCAGGGCACTGGGCCTGACCTCACTCTTCAGCGCTGAGCCTGTCTCACTCCCCGGAACGAGTCTGGCCTGGTCCCAAGCCTGGTCCGAATGCCCTCAAATCTCCACACTACAATGTGGAGATTTGCTTCTGATCTCTGCAGCAATCACTTTTGCTCCTGACTCTCCGATCTTGTTGCCTTGAAGACTGCAAATAAACAACGTAAATAAAGATGAGGTTAAGTATAGGAAATCTTTAATCTCTGGCCAAAAGATTTCCAAATGTGTCCATATAATTAACAGAAGGATTTTGTACTATCCATGCAGCGCTCCCTCCCAGGTCAGGTTCAACATGTTAGACGCAGTGCGGGAGTGTGGCAGGTGCTTAGATGTGGGGGCACCAGGCTTTCAGAGGAGGTGTTGGTTGAACGTGGGGTGTTGCTGATCCATTCCATTGCCTCTCACTCAGACACAGAGCAGCTAGTACTGACACGAGTCTATGCAGGCCTACACAACCACAGCAATAATAATCCTTGCATTTAATACAATGCCTTTCATGTCAAGAGGATGTCTTTATACGCTTTACAGGATAAAGTATAGTGAATGTATTTTCTATGCAAACACAGGACATGGGAAGACGCAGGAAACAAAGAGGTCGCATTTGTGATACTTTTTAATGGGCTTCCTCAATAACGAAGTCGATCATAACAGAGTGTAGATCAGAGTAAAGCAAATATCTCCATTGTTCAAGAAAGGGAAAAGGGAAGAGCCTGAAGCAGTTCACGGAGACAGACTGGAAGCCCGAGCAAGGTGAGGAAATAAGGGTCATAGGAGGAAGGTGATAAGAGTTAGGCACTTGGTGGCTAAAAGCTAGGCACCAATGGGTGTGGAAATTGTGCAGCAAACCTGAGTTTGTGGAGCGGAGGGAGTGGATGGGAGAATGGGGCTAAAGTTGAGAGGAGGGACTTAATGTTCAGAGCAACAATTTTCAGGTAGATCCATCGAGGGACAGGAAGCCTGTGGAGCCAGGCAAAGATCAGGTGATGGATTTGCGGAGTCTTTTCCCGATATCCCCTAAAATTCTAAATTCCCTATCTACAATGCTGCCGTGTTTCATCCACAAAATACACAGTCACTACACTTTACAGTAAATCCTGTGAAGTGCTTTGAGACGTCTCGAAGACTTGATTAGGCTCTATATCAAATGCAAGGATTACCATTATTATTCTTTCAAACATCCCAAAACTCTGCCTTGTTGGTCTCTCGCATTCTCACGTTCTCTGTGCGTCACTTACTTGATGTGCCTCAGGCTATCGTTGTAGCTCAGGGCGATCGCGATGCACATCGCTCCATCCAGGCCCAAGGAGTTCTCCTGGAGACTGCAAATCACAAAAAATGCCGTGTAAATTGTCTGCACAAAATGTGCCTAAAATCACATTTTATTGAACCGCATGTTGGGTTTTCACGCAAATACGATTGAAAGCTCAGATGTAGCAAATATTTCTGGCTAAAAGGTTTCAAAACATGTAAATATAATTAATGGCCTCAACTGCAATCATAGACACTTTCTTCCTCTGAAGGAATCTGCCTGGATTACTCCATGGTATTAATGCAACCTCCCCACCACCACAGCCCCTGCCCCAACACAGGACCCATTAAATCTGCAAACATCCCTCCACCCTCCGCGATTTTCCCAAAGGCTGTTCACCACGAAATCCTGTACTTCTGATGATCTGATGATCTCTTGCTGACGTGAGGTGGTAGGATGTGAGTTACTTACTTGAGATGTCTCAGCACGCGGTTGACTTTCAGTCCGTTCGCCATGGCCTTCACTCCTGCCACCCCGATTGCGTTCCCACGAAGGCTACAACAGAGTAGGCAGCACAATATTACTCAGGAGCTGTTATAGCGAGGTACAGATTTAGTATTAACAGTGAGTGCATTACTACAGACAGTGGTCCCCCACGGGGGTGGGCTAGTTACCGGGAGTAGCCTGGGAAGGAGTTAATTAACGGGAGTAGCCGGGGAGGAGGTAATTAATGGGAGTGGCTCGGGTTACTTACTTGAGGGTCGTGAGGCTTTTGTTCACAGCCAGCGCCTCAGCCAATGCCTCTGCACCTCTGACTCCGATGGAGGTTCCCTGCAGACTGGAACAGGAGCAGTTATTTGTGGTTAGCCTCGGGGCCAATATATACAACCCGGCACCAACACATGTATGTTACTCGCACAGCAACATTGCCACAGCAGTGTGTGCGACAGCAGAGATACACATACACACTCCACATAGAATCACAGAATTATACAGCACAGGAGGCCATTCGGTCCATTGTGTCTGCCGGCTCTTTGAATAGAGCTGTCCAAATCAATCCCACTCCCCCACTCTCCCCATAGCCCTGTAAACATGTCCTTCCCAAATAATTATCTACTCTCTTAAAAGTTATGATCAAATCGGCTTCCACCATCCATTCAGGCAATGCATTCCAGATCTGAACAACTCAAAACATTTCTCTTCACCTCCCCTCTGTTTCGTTTAACAACCATCATAAATCGGTGTCCTTGGGTTACCGACCCACCCGCCAGTGGAAATAATTTCTCCTTGTTCACTTCATCGAATCCCCTCATAATTTTGAAAACTTCTAAGCCTCCTCTTAACCTTCTCTGCTCCAAGGAGAATAATCCTGGCTTCTCCTGATAACTGAAGACCCTCATTCCTGGCACCATCCTGGTAAACCTCCTTTGCACCCTCTCCAATGCCTTGAGATCCTTCTTAAAGTGTGGTACCCAGAACTGAACATATACGTCATAGCAACAATGCTCTGTTGATCATTAACAATGCAAACACTCGCCTCAATACAAAGATACACGGAAACTCAACATCTCAACACAAAGTAAACACACCTAGGTACATAGGAAGCACATGCACACTTCAATACATGGGAAACACACCTTGACACATGGGACATACACATCGCATTACCCCCCTTGAACTTACTACAGTGAGTCCAGCACGGAATTACATTTCAGGGCACCGGAAAGAGCAATAATTCCTTCATCCCCAATGGAGTTTTCCTGCAGACTTGAAAGAAAATGAGATAAGTTGTTTCTGATATATTCAATAACAGCGGATTGTTGCACCAGCTAGACTGCCTGCAGTTACAGTCCTTACTCCTCCCCTCAGGCAATGAACGCAGTGACTTTAACATGGGCCCAAGACAGATACCACAGTAAGGAGTTGTACTCAGTGAGAACAATCCTGTGTCAGGTTCCCAAGCCCTCTGTGACACTGCTCATCAGGGATTCACCCAGGTTTGGAAAGCGAGAAAGCCTTTAACACCATGGCTTCTGTATGTAATGCTTTAGTCATGCGTTCTGTAGATTTAGAGATTTATCATTTTTGCAAAGTATATTTTGGGCCTGAGGATGGTTGAGAGTTTGTCCTCAAAAGAATTTCTGAGCAACTTTTCCATCTCAGATCCATGAGAAGCACGCTACTTTTGGGTGCAGCTGGCTCCTGAGGCCATTCAATAATAATAATAATAATAATAATAATCCTTGCATTTGATAAAGCGCCTTATCACCTCTTCCGAGACGTTTCAAAGCGCTTCACAGAATATACTGCAAAGTGAGTTGATGTATATTGTGCGGGCGAAATATTTAATAAACTGAAACCAAAAGCAAAAATCGTAACAAGGGGATTTCAAAGCAAGTCAATAGTATAGTGAGCAGCTTACTCCAGGCTGGTCAGACTAGTGTTGGTTTGCAGAGCCTGGGCCAGTGCTCGGGCTGCCTCCAAACTAATGAAGTTCCATTGCAGACTGGAGGGAGAAAGAGAGAGAGAGAGCAGGTCAATAGTGGAAAAATATCAAGCCACAGTGGTACAACATCAAATGTTGACATGAAGTAAGATACTGTGTTTGTTATTGTATTTGAGAGTCTTATCCAGAGTGCATATATAATAACAATCCTTGTATTTGATATAGCACCTTTCATATCAGGAGGACACCTCAAAGGATATGCTGCACTGTGTAATGACTGTATATTGTTGTAATGACTGTATACAGTATTGTGTAGATGAATGCGGAACAGTAATCGTGTTCACTTACTGCAGGGAGGTCAGTGTGTGGTTTTCTTTGATGGCTAAAGCGATGGCTGCTGTTCCTTCATCATGCAACAGATTAGCTGTTAAACTGATGAGAGAATAAGAAAGTGTATTCATGAGAGGTGTATACAAGTGCTGTACAAGAATAGATACGATGAGGAGAGAGAGCAGGGGAATAGGATTAGAGTGCAGAGCTCCAGTGAAGGTGACAGCACCAGCTCAAATACAATGGGGCAAAGAGTAGTTAGAATCCAGCAACAGCAACATGCATTGATGTAACGCCCTTCATGCAGGGTAGCATCTCGGTGCTCTTAGATAGCTTTAGTGGGGAAGCTTGATACAGTGGGCCAACTGGCCCCCTCCTGCTGTAAAGCTGTGATATACTGGGAAGAAAACTTCCTTTACTGGACATCAGGTGCGGCCACTGTTGAAACTCACTCCAAACTGCGTAGCGCCTTGTTTACACGTAGAGTCTTGGCAATTTCCTTCGCGCCGTGCAGCCCAATCGAATTCTCCCGAAGACTAGGAATGGGAAAGAGGCGTTAGTCAAGATATGTCTGATCATGTCCAATTAGTACAGTGAATGTGAAGCCACGAGTGTTGTGTGTGTGTGTGTGTGTGTGTGTGTGGGTGGGGTGGGGAGGTCTCTCTAGCTGAGTGGGTGGGCTCTTGCTGAGTATGGAGAGGGCTTGGGCTGGAAGGCTCTTGGTGAGGATGGGGCCCGGGGTGGGGGGAGAAATAGTCTTACTTGAGGTTGATGAGTCCATGGTTGAGTTGTAAAGCTTTGGTCAGTTTACTGGCCCCAGTGTTGCTGATGGAGTTGCTCTGGAGACTGGAGAGAGAATATTACACATGAACCAGAAACACCTAATGAACCAGCATCTCACTCTACTGTAGTGCGCTGTGCAGTACTTCATTACGTGAAGTTACACTGAGCTGCACAGCAAGCTCCTGCAATTTCAGCACAGGCACCACAGAGTATTTCATTACACACAGGATGATTAAAAACTGGAAAATTTAAAATACTAATAATAACACTTGCATTTAGTATAGCCACTGTCAGACCAGGAGGCCAACTCATAGCACATCGCAGGATAAGCTATAAATTGTGGTGACTGTGTATTTAGTCGGCAAATGCCTACTAGTTAGCAGGAAGGGTGCTTAGGCCATATCTCGTCTCAGAAAGAGCTCGATGATGCCAGGTTGGGAGAACGGTATTCTGAAAGGATGAGATCAAATGGGCAAATGGCCTTCTTCATCCAAACCTCTGTTGCGATCTTCTAATACTGCCCTGTACTACGTTCCACATCACTACAGTGAACGGCACCACTTTACTCTGTACTCCACTGAACTGAGCTATACAGTGATCTCTTACTGATCTGCACTGAAGTGAAATGTGCTGCAATGCCTTCTCCTGGCTATAATGTACTACAATGCATTGCATGGGGGTAATTCCAGGTTGAAGCTAACTGGGAGAGACTGGGCATATCCAGAAAGTCCTTTCAACACATCTCTCCTGTAACAATCGACAGAAAAAAAAATAATTTATAGAATATTACATCACAAGAACAGCTGACCATATCTAAGCTGGTGATTTACTCCACATCAGCTGCCTCATCTCCTCCCACATGTGCTCACCAAACCTTTTAATATTTCTCCTTATCAGGGAGGGTCCACGACAGTCAGAGCACGGACTGCCCTCCTTGTGCCGGGACCTTCAACACACAGAGTGCAGGGACAGAACTTACTTGAGGATTGCGAGGCTGTTATTAACCTTCAATGATTCCGCGATAGCGGCTGCTCCTACGTCGCCCACACAGTTACTGGAGAGGCTGCAAGAGAGACAGAGACAGCTGCGAGGTCAGGCAGTGACTAACCACCCTCACACAGTCCATCGTAACAAGCCCACCCCAACCCTCACAGAGTCTCTCCCCCCCACACAGTCCCCTCCAGTGTCCAGTTCAGGTAACTCTTGACTGGATACAGGCTAATGCTCGCTCACTCTGTCTAATTCCAGCCTCAGAAGAGCTTCCCCACTGCACTTGCCCGGCATCTTCCCATTCCCAGATCAGCCGTCCTCTCAGCTCTCAAAGCCGAGCTTGACAAAGAAGAGCAGCCGTGCCTCCCCACATCTGGTCTGTATTTTAGCTCCTGTGTCAGGTCGGTTCGGTGCTGGGCGATGAGTACAGTGTTGTGGTGACAACAACAAATTACATATGTATAGCATCTTTCACGTCGGGAGGATGTCCCAAGGTATTGCACAATGGAATTGACATTATTAACCCCCCCCCCCCCTCATATCACCAGCACTTACATCAGCTCTTTCAGACTCCGGTTTATTTTTAGGGCGGCTGCAAGACGTTTGGCCCCCTCCGGCCCAATGGAGTTTTTCTGGAGACTGCGAAAAAAACATAAAAGACTCAGGTACCAATCCCAGCCCTGCTTTCTCTCCCCTCAGCACCGCCTTCTCTCCCCTCAGCACCGCCTTCTCTCCCCCAGCCCTGCTTTCTCTCCCCCAGCCCCGCCTTCTCTCCCCCAGCCCCGCCTTCTCTCCCCTAGCCCCGCCTTCTCTCCCCCAGCCCCGCCTTCTCTCCCCCAGCCCCGCCTTCTCTCCCCTCAGCCCTGCCCCCTCTCTCCCATCACCGCCCCCTCCCAGCATCGCCCTCTCCCCCCAGCACCGCCCTCTCGCCTCCTCCCCTTGGCACCACCTTCTCTCCCCACAGCCCCGCCCTCTCTCCCAGCACCGCCCTCTCCCCCTCCCTCCCTCCCTCCCAGTGCCACGATGCTCTCCCCTGGACACTGGGGTGCAGTGGTGGGTGTGCTGTGTTGTGCATCACTGGTGTGTGCTCTGCCGAGATGCTCTTACTGCAAGGAAGTGAGCTTGTGGTTCACATGAAGAGCGTCTGCTGTATATTTGGCTCCCTCCTCTCCCACAAAGTTATTCTGCAAACTGAAAGACGGAGAGATTAGGATAGAAATAAGTAACCCGACTCCCCACACCACCCTCCACCAACCCGGTCCCCAATCCCTCAGATAACTCCTAAGTAACAACAAGCTCAGCACTAGATGTCCCACCAGAGGCTTCTGTCAAGAAGGCCCAGCAGCTTTGCTGGTGCTGATAATGGGGGGGATTGGTACTCAGATGTTGGTACAAGGATGCCAGGGGCCAGCCAGAGGTGAGGCTCAATGTCTGACTGAGGCCGTCACACTTACTTCAGAGACACCAGAGCCTGGTTTATTTTCAAGGCGTCAGCCAAAGCCTTGGCTCCTTTGGGACCAATCGAGTTACTTCTGAGGCTGTTGGGGAATAATGAAATTAGTCATCAGACATTCCTCCGCATCACAGTGTCACGGCCCACAACAAACACCTAGTTCTCACACACACACACGCGCACACACAACTGCAACACACACCTATCCACAGCCCCAAAACATGCGCAGCCGCAGCTCTGCACATGCACACAATGCTGTGACATGCACACCCACAGCGCAATTGCACTTACTCTAAAGTGCTGAGCGTTCGGTTGACCATCAGGGCTCTGGCAATTGCTTTCGCTCCTTTGTTGCTGATTAAATTTTCCGCCAAACTGTTCAAGCAAAACAAAATACATGGAACATGGGAATAATCAGTGTCACACTTTACTGTGGGGGAAGGGATCTGATGCTCTCCTCCTCTCCTGAAGACACTGATCTTTGTGTGAGACAGACTGCCTCCAGTATTCACCAACAATCATACCTGTGCAACAGGTCAGGAGTGGTAAAATTGGCTGATTTCTGCTCCTGACGCTAGGACATTCAGGCAGATTGGAACTCTAACTACTGGGTCCAAACAGGTCCAAATCCTTGACTGTCCAGCTCCTTGGGACGTGTAAGACCCCTTATACAAATTTGTTGTTGTTGTTGCTGCTGCTGGCGAGACTGAAGTCAGTGATGCAGCACAGAGAGCAAAGGCCACATTGTCTTCACCCACTGTTTCCCGCTATAAGGAGGCTGAGTTTACCAGGAAATCAAGAGAAGCTTCTTCCCTGCAGTCTGGAGAGGTTGGTTGACTTGACTCCCTACTGAAGTATTCACATACTAATGACAAGGACAGGATAACCTAGAATCTAACGCAAGGCGGGACAGTGCGACGAGTAAAAAACAATGTTAACCACAGATATTGGGAGCAGTGTTTCACTCCGAGCTCTGAGTGGCTGTTGGAGATTGGGGACGTGAGCTCTGGAATAAGGATAAAGTTTATTATTGCTGACTTCCCCTCGCACACACTTTCTACTGTGATGCACAGGTTCCCAATTACTGGGAGAAGGCAGCAGGAAGCTTCCAATTACTGCAATGGGTAGTGCAGATGCCCACGTCACAGTGTGTGTGACGTACATTCACAGCACAGATAAACTGGGTCGCTCGAGGGCTCTGCAGTGTAAGGATGTGTGCAGTACCTGATCTTTCGGATCTGACAGTCTTTGGCACTCAGCAAGCTCCCCAGCAGATCCATCACATTATCCTTGAATTGGTTGTTTTCCAGCCTGAAAACAGAAGGAAGCCGCTCACAATCTGTGAGGTTTAATCCTATCTCTACATTTAGAGCACAACAACAGTGACTCTTACAATGTCTAATACGTCGCACGTCTCAAACGACTCCACCAATTGTCAAGTGTAATGACTGTGAAATGCGGCAACCAATTTGCACGCAGCAAAGTCTCACAGTAACCACAAAGTGAACAACCGATTTAACTGGAGGACTGTTGGTCAGGACACCGGGAGAATTCCCTTCTCTTTTTGAATACTATCTTTGAATGACATCTTTAATGGCCGCCCAAATGGACAGATGGAATCCCCTACAACACAGTGCTCCAGCAGTATTGCACTGGAGAGACACCCGAGAGGATAGCTCATACTGCGCTACATACTTTTCCAACTCAGCTCTCCGCTCATTCCTCACTCTCTCCATTGTACGTTGATTCCCTCTTTTCTCTGCTATGTCTCTTCCCCAGTGGAATGTCAGCCCTTTGCATTCTCAGTGATGTATCTTTGAAAGAATTCCAAATTTCCTCTGTCCTCTTCGCTGCTCATGGTCTGTCCAGTCCAGCTCCTTAGTTCCTTCCTCAATCACTCAAACGTTGCCTCCTAAAAGTCTGAGGCTACATGAACCTCTCCTTCTTCATTGTGTTACACTGACCGTGCTTTTGATCTCCCTGCTTCTCCCTCTGCCCTCCACCCTGCCCCACCTTTACAAATGTAATTTTGTTGTTGTTGTCCTCTATTGCAAGCTCACAATGCAGTTAGGGTTATAATAATAATAATAATTATCCTTGCATTTGATGTAGCGCCTTATCATGTAATTGAAACATCTCAAAGCGCTTCACAGAATATACTGTAAAGTGAATTGATTGCATATTTTGTGGGCAAAACGTGGCAGCCAATTGCACACAGCAGTGTCCACAAATAGTTGTGGCGTGACCAAATTATTTTTATAATTTTTTTGAAGGGATTATTACCCCCGGAAAGTGAGCCACCAATCGACTGATAACTGGGTTTCTGCTTACTGCGAGGTACACAAAGGCGTGTGGAGTAAGTGAGGTTTATCCCTGCCCGGGAACTGAACTTGGGTCCTCTCGTTTGCGAGGCGAGAGGTTAGCTGGTCACCCTCGTTTAGCAAAGAGCCGGGAGCAATGGAAAATTCTTACCTGAGGTTCTGGCAGTAAAGCAGGCGAGGTAGTAAGCTTTTGAAGATGTTGTAGCTCAGACAGTTGGAGAGGTTCGTCTCCTCCATGCATTCCTCAGACACCTGAAGCAGGTAGGCCAGAGCCGAGCAGTTGATGGGGGTCAGCCTTCCACCCAGGGTGCCGGTGCGCAGTGCCTCAGCTACCGCCTTGGCAACCTCAGGGTGCTGCAGCTCCTGCAGGCAGTGCATCATGTTGACAGTCCGGGAGGAGATGATGTAGTCGGTGTTTAGGCAGCACTGCAGGTGGTGGATGACAGGTCCCCTGTAACCGTTGTGCTCATCCTTCATCAGGAACAAGCCCTGCAGGAGCTTGTTCACCTCCGGTGAGAGCAGCCCCGAGAGGAAGCGCGCAAATATATCCAAGTGGCCATCATCAGACAGCAGCGACTTACTAACTGCATTCTTAAAGTGATTGTGAAAGCCTAACTTTGGCCAGGACATGGCATTGTCCGTGAAGAGATCAAATATGGCTCTCTTGGCTGCGATATAATAGTGTATGGCAGCGAGGTACTCCTGGATGCTGATGTGAATGAATTGGTAAGTTGTGCACATGTGCAAGTCCTCTTTAGTGAAGATCCTGGAGCAGAGACCGCCCTGTAGTGACGTCAGGTCTATCCCGTGGTTCTTCATGTCTGAGTCGTAGAAGACAGCCCTACGCTTGATCAGCCCGTAGAAGGCCAGTCTGCTCAGGTTGGAGATCTGCTTCCGCTGGCTATTGAAGGCTTGCTCAATCTTCAGGGGCTCCGGCTCCTTTTCCTGCCAATCTCCGCTTAGGACCATCTTGAAGAAGTAGGTGTAGATTTCCGTTAGGGTTCTAGGGAAGCCCCCGCTCCTTTGAGACTCACTGGCTTTGAGGAAGTAGGCGATGGAGGAGCCGACAATCAGGCAGAAACTGGGCACCGAGCATAGGATGTAGAGCGACTGCTGGGCCTTGATTTCGGTGAAGACCTTGGTGGCCGTGACTCTGTCTTCGAAGAGGGTCTGCAAGAATTCTTTAATTTCCACCTCTCCAAAGCCTCGAATCTCTGTCATTCTGTCCACCAGCCCAGCTGGGATCTGGCTGGCGGCTGCTGGCCGGGACGTGATCCACACTGTGGCCTCGGGGAAGATATTGCCTCGAATTATGTTGGTGATCAGGTTTTCAATCTGAATGTCCTTCTTGGGGTCGGTGCAGGGCTGGGAATTGGAGAACTCCAGCGGGTGCCGGAACTCGTCCAGCCCATCAAACAGCAACAGGACCTTAGCCATCCCGTTTAGGATCTGGCTTGTCTCGGTGATGTGAGGGAACGTCAGTCGGAGCAGCTTCTCTGCGGAAATCCGCTCAACGCTGTTCAGATCTCTGAACGTGAAGGGGAATATGAACGTGATATCCTTGAACATTTCCCCCTCCAGCCATTTGTACATCAGCAGCTTCACCAGGGTGCTCTTGCCGATGCCGGCCACCCCAACGGTCACCGAGATGCGGGGCGGGATGCTGACTTTAGTGAGGGGCAGGAAGAGTTTGTCGAGCGGAGTCTTCTTCAGGCTGCTCTTCATACCCCGCGTCGCCTCGATCTGCATCACATCGTGCTCCTTCTCCTGGATGTCCGTCAGCCCGTCGATCAACAGCAGGTTGCTGAGTCTGTCCCGCAAATGGCCCGAGCACAAGCTCCTGACATCACAGCCACTGCCCAACTTATACTGCAGCACCTCAGTGTGTTTCTGCTTCATCGGCTCTGCACAGGGTCAGAGGGCACTGAGTGAGAACAGAGTTACGACTCGCCCACAAAATACTCAGTGATTCCACTTTACACTACATCCTGTGAAGCGCTTTGAAACGTCTCAACAACATGATAAGGTGCTTTATCAAATGCAAGGATTATTATAATTAACAGCACCATCCCCCACTCCCTCCAGCCTTCCATCATCCCCCACTCCCTCCAGCCTTCCATCATCCCCCACTCCCTCCAGCCTTCCATCATCCCCCACTCCCTCCAGCCTTCCATCATCCCCCACTCCCTCCAGCCTTCCATCATCGCCCACTCCCTCCAGCCTTCCATCATCCCCCACTCCCTCCAACCTTCCCAACATCCCCCGCTCCCTCCAGCCTTCCATCATCCCCTACTCCCTCCAGCCTTCCATCATCCCCTACTCCCTCCAGCCTTCCATCATCCCCCACTCCCTCCAGCCTTCCATCATCCCCTACTCCCTCCAGCCTTCCATCATCCCCCACTCCCTCCAGCCTTCCATCATCCCCTACTCCCTCCAGCCTTCCATCATCCCCTACTCCCTCCAGCCTTCCCACCATTCCTCAGAATCTAATTGGTCAAAAGGAAAAGATCCGAAAGGTTAAAAACATTACAAAAGCAAAACCAATAGAAGGAGGTCTGGAGAACAGGTAACCCTGAACTGATCAGGAGAAACCCATTGGGTCAGAGTGCAGTTGGCTCAGCTCCCTGCTAAATCAGACAGGGTTAGGGAGCAGGAGAGAATTAGGGAAGGAAGTAGATTATTATTAAGAGTGCAACTCATTGGCCCTTCGTCAAATGCGAAGATGATTAGTAACTGACCATAAAGGGTGATGGAGAGATAGAGCTGTGAGTTTGTGGTCTCGATAAAGCTCTGCAGAGACTCCGAAGCAATGCTGCCCTTTGTGGCCAGTACATCGATGGCTGCCTGCACCTGCTCGGCTACTCCACTCGCCTCCTGTATAAGATTCACCTCCTCAGCACTGATCAAGTTCTGCTTCTTCATGTAACTGATGATCTTCTCCAGGAAGGGACTGCTGATTGCCCTCACCAGCTGCACCCGGTACCTGTTAATCCAGATTCCTGAAATACACAGATGTAAAGGTGAGGAAATCTCAAAATCTTCAGTTGACCTCTTGAGTCCTGGCAAAATGTCTTAGCCCTGAGCCTTGGGACGTCCTCCTGATGTGAAAGGCGCGATGTGAAATGTAATTTGTTCTTGTGGTGTCTGTGCATTCCATGCACTGTGCACCTTGCTATGGATTAAACCAATGCTACAATCCATTACACCATCTAGCTCAGAAGCTTGTGGGTTCAAGCTCCACAATATCACATGTTAGTGCAGTACTGAAGGATCTCACTCGCTACCCATCCAACTTCCCAAAAGATTCCTCCTGTTGTATTCCTTTAACCCCATGATCTAATAACCCTGAATTATTTTCGTTTCCAGGAACAACTTGTTCAACTCCTTTTTGAAACCCTTCATACTTGCTAATCCCATCACCTGTTCCACTAGGGTGCCCCATACCCCTATTATTTTACTAAACCTATTTCCCTTGCACCTCCTAGTTGTCTTCATGTTGTTGTCCTTGCTGTCAAACCATTTCCTTTAATTTTCTACAAGCCAGAAAAATGTACTTTCATCCCGATTTTCCTAAACTCTGTGTAATTTGAATTCTACACACCTTCCATTGTCATTGCAAGGGGCTAGCGAGGGTATGTGCACAGTGACATTGCCCGTCACATCACTTTGAGCCACTTGTTGCAATCGATGACTAGCCAAGTGTCGGACATCAGCACCGAAAGACAGCTTGCAACTGTCAGCCACACAGCACATCCAAACACCAGCTCCCAGACTCAGGCTCCCTCTGCGCCACTGCAAGGTAAACAGACACTTTATTTAATTTTCAGAACATTGGTTTATTTAGATTTGGCCAATTTTCCGCAGTTCACCTTTGAGACAAGAGCGGCTTTTGCCCCTGTTTGTCTACTCCCTGAGGTCACTGCCACGATGGATATTGGAATGAAACCACTGAGAAGTGAGCCTGTGTGGGTTACCTTCACTGTGTCCAAGTAGCTTCGCCTCAACTGATTGACTCAAATGCCCACCTTATGATTCTGACCTACTTCGGAAAAAGGTTTCCCAAGATAATAGATTACAGAAATTATACAGAAACACTGGAGAAGGTGATTTGCAAAGATGATACCGGACCTTCAAGGTTATACCTATCAGGAAAGGCTGAACAAGCTTGGAGTCTTTTGAAAAGAGAAGGGTGAGGAGCGACGTAATAGAGGTTTTTAAAATTATAAAAGGTTTTGATAGGGTAGCCATAGAGAAGATGTTTCCACTTATAGGGGAGACCAAAACTAGTGGCAATAAATATAAAATAGTCACCAATAAATCAAATAGGTAAGTCAGAAGAAATTTCTTTACCCAGAAAGTGGTGGGAATGTGGAATTTGCTATCACAAGGAGTAGTCAAGGCGAATAGCATAGATTCATTTAAGGGGAAGCTAGATAAATACATGATGGAGAAAAGAATAGAAGGTTTTGCGGATGGATTTAGTTGAGGAACGGCAGGAGGAGGCTCATGTGGAGCATAAACCAGTTGGGCCAAATGGTCTGTTTCTGTCTTGTAAATTCTATGTAATAATGACGCCAGTGGGGACTTGCAGAGCGTTCAGTTCAATCGAACAATGCCCTGCTGGTAGCTGATTCAATGCTGCTGAGGTTACTTTTTGGGAAGATGCTGCATATGAGAAAGTTTTAATGAAGGTAGATGCACCTTTAGTATTTTAGATCTCCTGTTGGCTTTTAGTTACACTGCTAAAGAGCCAATAGAAACTATTCAAGGTGATATCCCAGGAGAGGAATAGATACCTATTCCCGTTAGGAGATCACAGGGGTAGGGTTGAGCAAAACCATGCAGGGCTTTGAAGGTGAGGACCAGGATCTTGAACTGTATCCTCTGTGTGATGGAAAGCCTGTGGAGTCAGGTGAGGATGGGGGTGATAGGGTCACGGAGCCTGGTGCGGGAAAGAACACTGTTTTATGGCTTCCCAGCTTCGCTCCTTCCTCTCCTGCCACTCCCTTCACGAACCCCTCCAATCGGGTTTCCGTGCCACCCAGAGTTCTGGATGATCTGCAACCTATGGAGGGAGAAGTTGGGGAGGCCAGCAAGCAAGGCATTTAGTCACACCTCGATGTTATAAATGCGTGTATGAGGGTTTCGGTGGCCTGTGGTGTGAGACAGTGGTGGAGCCGGGCGATGTTGCAAAGGTGGGGGAAGGCAGAGTGGGTGATGGCACAGATATGGGGTAGAAAGGATAGTTGAGGGTCAAACAAGACCCCAAGGTTCCGGACTGGCTTAGTAAGGTGGAGCGTGCAACCATGGATGGTGATACTGTCAGTGCCTGAGGTGAGGAGGTGCTGTCAGGAACCAATCAGGAGGGCCTCGGTCTTGTTGACGTTCAACTGAAGAATGTTAACTCTCATAACTGGTCACTTCAATCCACGACTGTTTGTGGGACACTGCTGTGCGCAATTGGCTGCCGTGTTTCACCCACAAAATGCAGTCAATTCACTTTACAGTATAACCTGTGAAGCATTTTGAGACGTCTAGAAGACGTGAAAAGTGCTATATCAAATTCAAGGATTATTATTATTATAAAAGGTGCAGAGCAAATTCACTAGGATGAAACTGGGGATGAAAAAATAGACATGTTAAACAAAGGTTGGCTGAGTTGGAGCTGTTTCCACTGGAGCAGACATAATTAAAGCATTTGAGTTTCTGATTGGGCAACCTCAGGGTAGAGAAGGGAAACTATTTTCTTTAGTTAGGGAATCAGGGTCTCAGGTTCGTTAGCAAAGAATCCAGGGAGATGTTAGAAGAAATGTCTTCACTCAGAGGGTTGTTAGTATTTGGAATTTATTGCCACGCATGGGCTATTGACCTGGATCAATGAAATCATTCAAAACCGATGCAATGGATAAGCACCTTAGCAATAACAAAACATGTAGGGATATGGGGAGAAAGCTGGAAAATTAATGTTTTTTTTCAAATATTTTGAAAAACTGATAGCACAGGCATGATAGGCTGAATGGCCTCCTTCTGTGCAGAAAATGTCAACTTGTATGTTGCACATTTAGTTGCAACCATTTAAGTGCTGGCGCAGCAAGTGAGATCGTTTCCGTTGCGTGTTCAGATCAGATTGATTATCCTTTAGTTTTTGTTCTAGCGACTAGTCACATTGTCGAAACGTCTCAAAGTTTTTCGCAGGACATATTGTAAAGTGGATTGATTGAAAATTTTGTGGGTGAAACGCAGCAGATAGTTTGCACACAAAGTTGGCAGAAGCCAGTGTGAAGGGAGCAGCAGAGAGGAGACGCGTCAGGAAGTTGTGGTTGGGTGTGACCAAGCTCAGGGTTGTACAAAGCAACCTAGACAAGTGTAGGAGGAGTGGAAGACTGAGGGAAGGGGAGTGATGGAATATAATCACAACAACATGTTTTGTGTCCTGTAGCTCAGTTGTTAGAGCACTCGCTTCGCAAGCGAGAGGACCTGGATACGATTCCCAGACAGAGTGAAACGTTAGGGAAGTTTCCTTACTCCACACGCCTCTGTTTTTACTAGCAATAAGTAGAAACCCAGTCGTTAGTCGATTGGCTTTTCCGGGATAATAATCTCTTTATAAAAGGAAAAACATTTGTTTTAAAAAAAATTTGGTCACACAATCCAAATTTATTTGTGGAATACTGCTGCCGCGTTTCGTCCACAAAATATGCAGTCAATTTACTTTACAGTATATTTTGTGAAGCACTTTGAAAAGTCTCAAAGACCTGGTACGATATTAATGCAAGGATTATTATAATATTATTATTGAGCACCACTTTTAAGATGCTCGGAAAAAGTGAATTAGAGGAGGAGCAGGTATGAGGAGACAGAGAGGAGAGAGAGCGTGTAGGACACAGGCTTTGGGGAACAAAAGCAAATTGCAGGGAGATCGAAAGCACAATTGAAGAGGAGGGTCTTGAGGTAGGTCTTGAAGGTGGCAAGGGAGGGGGCGAGACGGAGGGACTACGGGATGGAGTTCCAGAGGGTGGGTGTAGGGTGGCGGAAGGCCTGCCCGCCGATAGTGGGGCAAGCAAGCCGGAGGATGTGAAGCAGGCCAGAGCCCGCTGAGTGGAGGGAGCAAACAGGATGGTAGGGGGTTAGGATGTCGGCGAGGTAGGGGGGAACAAGACCATGGAGGGCTTTGAAGGTGAGGACCAGGATCTTGAACTGTAACGTCTGTGTGATGGGAACGTGGGTGACCCATTGTGATTTAGTTCTCAGTCAGTGGTTCTCATCTTAAATTCCAAACCCCCCATTCCTCCTCCCTGTGTCCTTATTGTGCTGGAATTGGCTCTTCAGATATACAATACAAACTCCCAAATCTCTAGATCCCTGACAATAATTTCCAGCCACTTGCAGGGCACAGAGTGTCACCCATGGTCACAGAGCCCTGTCACAGGGCCCTGTAGAACAGTATATCACTGCGTGTCATTGTGCACGTTAGCATGTCAGCAGCTGCTCGTTATCAGCAGGGCAAAGCCGCGTGACCCCGGACATGGCGTCAGCATGAACTATTGAGCTCAGGAACCCTGACACCACAAGAGATGAGAGAGAGCTGCACGCAAGGTAGACAGCAGCCGTGTAGTGCAGAGTAACCACATCCACTCGTACAGCTTCTCTTCACACTCCAGCTACACCTCAATACAATACGAGCTGTCTCTCCCACTTGTCGTATGTCAGATCTGGGTTACTTTGTCTCTCAGCTAAGGCCACATCCCCAATAAGGCATGCTCACACTCTAACTACACTGATTGAGTCAGGCTGCACCTGAAGTAATACATACAGTTCCAGTCACTACAACAGAAGGACATTGTCCTCGCTTGAGTTGGCAGTGAATGGAAGAACAGTCTCATGGGGATAATAATAATAATAATAATGATCCTTGCATCTGATATAGCGCTTTTCACGTCGGGAGGACGTCCCAAAGCGCTTCACAGAACACACTGTAAAGTGAATTGACTGTATATTTGTGGGTGAACGCGGCAGCCAATTGCGCACAGCAATGTCCCACAAACAGTCGTAGATTGAAAATGACCAACTTTATTATCGTTTTTGGTTTTGGAGGGATTATTATTAGGTGTGTGGAGTAAGGAAACTTGCCCAAGGTTTGGCCCTCTGCCTGGAATTGAACTCAGGTCTCTCGCTTGCAAAGCGAGTGCTCTAACCACTGAGCTACAGGACTCCACTATATAGGGATGAGCTATGAGCAATGATTAAACAAGATAGGGCTTGTCAGTCTGGGAAAGAGATGCTTCAGAGAGCATCTTTACCAGGAGGGTGTTCAACAGTGTATGGGCAGGAATTGTGTACTGCTCTGATGGTATCAAGGCTTGGGAACAGAGCACAGAGGTCCCACTACACTGTGCCATGAGCACTCGCAGAATAGCTCCCCTTATTCTCATCCTCCCCTCCCTTACACTAACGTTGTTTCAACCCAACTGCAGGATTCCCATTAATTTGAATCTGTGCCATTGTCTGATCCGCGTCAACCGGATCAGACAGCCCTGTAAACCGAACTGAAGACTCGTCAACCAGAGACCCCCCCACCACCGCATAGTCCAACTAGCCAAGCCCCCGCCACCAGCACTGCCGACATGCTCGGGTGATTTCCCAGACACAGCTTTACTGACGCACGAAAGTCAGCAATTAATCTTTTTTAAATATCATCTCAGAACATTTCATTTTGTTGTCCTACAATTTCTTACTTACTTTTTGCCTTCATTTATAATTTTTTTCCACTTTAGCTTTCTTTGTCTCTTGCTGTGTCTTTTGGAATCATCAATGTGGGCTTGATCACGCTCCTGTGTCAGTGTATGTCTCTCTCTATTTCTGGCTCATAGCATAAATTTGACCACAAGTGTAGACCAGGTTTTTTTCAACAGTCATTTCTGTTTGCCTACAATATAGTCGCTGCATTTTACAATAAATCCTTTGAAGTGCTTTTGAGATGTTCCGCCTCACATGTAAGGCTCTTTATCAAATGTAGGATTATTATTATTGTTGTCTCCTGGCACAATCGTATCTTACTATTTGTCAGCCTCAAACTCAGAGGCGATACTGTGGAAAAGGTCAATGTCGCTTTTGTACAGCATGGTGGTTTCTCTGAGCTTTGGATGAAAGTGTGTGCATCTGCATCTCATCCATTCTGTGTCTGGTCTGGGAGTGCCGAATGGGAGATTATGGAGGGAACTTGGGGATCACTTTCATAACCAGGACAGTTTATCTAGTAAGTGACTCTGCCTGCTGGACCTTGGTGGGAATACAGAAATCTATACTAATAAAGACAAAATGTCTGTGTGTCTGTCCGTCAAGAATGCAATAACCAATTGACGTAGAGACATGATTTATATCTTATCGGAAAGGTCTTGCATGGGGGAGTATCATGGGCATATTATGGGGGGATCTTCTAACGTTGATGAGCTATATTAATAAATATATTAAAAATGCTTTGATTAAGCCCCCAAAAAGGTATGCATGGTATTCTTCAACAGAGGTCACACACCCTACTAAAGGGATACATCTATACTAATGAAGATAAAATGTCTATCTGTCTAACCGATTGACGTAGAGACACCAACAGGAGTCCTCCTAACCAGGCATCCTCCCACAGAAGTCCTCCCACTGAGTTCTCCCAAAAGGGTATGTGCGCAAATATGTGAGCAAGCGATGCTAATGAGTTTAATAGGTATCTTTATCCCTTAAGATTAATAAAATGTGCTAAGAAACAAAGATCAAGCCTTTCGAGGCCAGATAAAAATGTCAGACAAAAGAGAGAAGGCCGATTAAATGAAACTGTTGCAATGGGTACAGCTAATTATCAATAATAATAATCCTTGCATTTGAGATAGCTTGTTTGAGCCAACTAAAAGTGCTTCACAGGGTTTCCTGTAAAGTGTAGTGACTGTATTTTGTAAACAAATTAACAACTGGAATGAGGTTACCAAGTAGTTGAGACTAAGGCTGTAGGAGTCATCTTGCTATAATGGGAAGATGGTAGGGCTGGGAAGATATTAATAATAATCTTTGCATTTGATATAGGGCCTAATTACGTCTTCAAGACGTCTCAAACGCTTCACAGAATACATTGTAAACTGAATTGACTGTATATTTTGTGGGCGAAACTCGGCAGCCAATTGCGCACAGCAGTGTCCCATACAGAGTCATGGATTGAGTGACCAATTTATTTATTTTTTGAAGGAATTATTATCCCCAGAAAAGCGATCCGCCAATCGACTAACAACCAGGTTCCTACTTACTGCTTGGTAAACAGAGTCGTGTGGAGTAAGGAAACTTGCTCAACGTTTTGCCCTGCGGGGAATTGAACCCAGGTCTCTCGCTTGCGAGGCGAGTGCTCTAACCACTGAGCTACAGGACTCGGATGGGATCAAATGGACTGAGGAGCCTTCTTCACCTATTCCTCTCTTTTGATCATTGATTTGGCTAAAGAAGAGGCTGACATCCTGTGTCAGTGTCAGGCTCCCTCAGCCTAGCTGCCCTGTGGACTCTCTGAGGGTAATGATGAATTTGCTGGAGTTGGAGGAGTTTGGGCCCAATGTCACGAACTGATAGAGATTCTCCTTCATTAGATTCAGCAGCATTACAACAAAAATTCAACAACAAAATTACATTAGAGGCTGATTCTAACCCATCCATTCCCATAGAACACAGAGCAGCCCAGACATGGTCTCAGAAAGTGAGCAATGTGACACCTTGGAGTTTGAAATACATTACAGATAAAATAAACTTTAAATTACTGGTTTTCTTTAGTTTTCTTATTTGGCTGCTCCTTTATAAGACAATATCATTGACTCCCTCCTTCCCTCGACATGAGAAGGCACTTCCCATAAGAAGACAAAGCTTGGACAATACCAGCTTGTTGAATTTATATTTGAGAGCTCACTAACCCACTAACTCATCAGTCTACCCAAGAATCCATGATAAATCGCTCTGAAAATGAATAACCTGAGAACAATGTCTCTATTGTGATGAGATGATAAGATGCTATACCAAATGTAAGGATTATTATTATTTTCAGATGAAATTCCCAGAAGTATCACTCTCCCATTGTTAATGAACATCTTCATAGTACAATAGAAATTACAACACAGGAAGAGACAGTTTGGTTTATCAGCCTGTGATGGAGCAGCAAGCTCCTCCATTAGAACTACCTAATCCCGGTCTCTATGTTTAGACAGGTGTTCAAACCCCATGTCAGGACTTTTAGTTCATAGTCTAGGATGACACTCCCCAATGCATTGTTGAGGGTGTGAAATTAGATACAAATAAAGTATTAAACTGAGCTCCCACCTGTACCCGTTCAGGTGGACGTCAAAGATTCTAAGATGAAAAGAGAAGGGAGCTCCTCCCAATGTTCTGGCCAATAACCCCCAAATAAAATAGATCATTCACTTCACGGCAGTTTGTGGGATATGGCTGTTCACAAATTGACTGCTGTGTTCATCTATAAGTAGACAGTCACGATACTTAATGGTAAAATCCTGCCAGCGCTTTGAGATGTTTGGATGACGTGATAAGGCAAATGCGAGGATTATTAGTTTATAATTATAATTCTATTCTTTCCTCAACAAATCTGTACTGGTGTTAGCAACTCCAGAGGAACTATCTACTCTAATCCCAATATTGTGCTCTTTTCTGATATTATCCCCTGGAAATACCTACTCTATGCCCATTCCATGCTCTTTCCCCCACATCTTTTATATTTCTCTTCAAATATTCAGTCAATTTCTTTGTAAAATGTTCCCTATTAACTGTTAATGGGTCTCAGTCTCAGCAGGCATTATGTTAAGACATCCAATGTTCTCATTCTCTCTGTGCATGAGTATCTTCTAACCTTCCCTTTTATTACTTAAAAAACAGACACATATAAATGTTATGTATAGGAGACCATCAGAATTGTGTCTGTGCCATTTCTACTTGTTTTTCTGACCAATTCTTTCTAATAATCCCACTTTTCAGCTCCCACATCCTTTAATGTTTTTTGCTCGTGAGAATCTTAAACAGTTTCCTTTTCAACCATTCTACCTCAATAGCCACTTGTGGTAATGAATTGCAAACCCTAACAGCCTGCTGACCTTCTAACCGAGAAATTCCTTTTAATCTTTTGCTGCTAATAATAATAATCCTTGCATTTGATATAGCGCTTTTCACGTCTTCTAGATGTCTCAAAGCACTTCACAGAATAGACCAGTGTTTCTAATACTGTGTTTCTAATAATCCAGAAACACTTGATCCCCAACTAGGGGTAAATAGTTTTTCCCTATTTATCTTGTCACACCCTTTTGGTATCTGAAACATATCTACAATATCTCATTTCAGTGTCTATTCCAGTGGAGAAAGCTCCAATTTAGTCTGCCTTTCATTTACCTATGTTGTCTTATCGGTAGTTTCATCATAGTGAATATGCACCACACCCATTTCCATCTCTGACATTTTTTCTGTGATAGAGCACTAAACACTGAACTTAACACTCCATCTGTAGTCCAGGCAATGTTCTACACAATTCCAATATGATTTCCCTACTTTTATCTTCAGTGGTCCAGTTTATAAATAGCGTTCCGTAACTGCTGTCCCAGTTTTAATGATTATGTCTCCCAGTGTCAAATCTGAGCTCATTGCCTCCTTTTATCGATGCACCAACCAGTGAAAATAATCCATCACCATCTGCCCTCTCAAAATCTTTAAAGTTTTGAAGACCTCTGATAGAACCTTTTTAGTTAGAACTAAAATAACACTTTTTTTTGTAACATTATCTTCGTGAATCCTGCACCCCTGGTTGCACCTGGGTGAACCTATTCTCCAAGGCTCCAATGTCCTTTCTGTAATTGGATAGCCAGAACTTTGTGTAACTCTACAAATGTGGTCTAGTCAACATTTTGTAGAACATAAGAACGTAAGCACTGCTAGGCAAAAGAAGACTGAGGTCCATCCAATTCGCCTTCCACCATCCTCGCAGTTGCCTGACATTTCGTGACCCAAACTACATATAAATATAACATCATTTGTACTCGGTGCCCTGATTATAAAATCCAACGTTCAGTTCATGGCAACATATCATTGCAAAGTAGAAAAGCAACTCACCAAATTCCCCACGCTAATTGTCAGTGTTAAAGTCGGGCTGCGATTATCTGATGCTCGTATTCAGTCAGACGACAAGCCAAGTGCCACAACCCATGCTCACGGTTTCTCTGCATCCGCTTAAAGTTCAATTTCAAGTACAGATGTTTTCAAGCGTTTAAAAAAGAAACTCTGGGTCTGAGCCAAAGGTACCAGAGAACTGCAGCATATCGACTGCTTAGACCCTATCCCTTGTTTCTGTATTTAAACGACTTATCTATGGTTCAAATACACTGTGTCCAGGGAGCTGGTCTGTCTCTAAGGTGCTGCACCTCCCTGGAAATTATTGCAATTTCTCCGTTTTCTTCTTAGACAGTGGCAGAGAGCTCGTGCTCTCTTTGTGGTGAACTCTTTTCCTGTTTCTCTCTTCCTGTTAGTCTGACAGAAGACAGGATGTCATGTGTAATTAACACACGGTAACAATTAAAGCAGCAACCAGATTCGGTTATACCAAAATAATAGAGAAAGTGAACAATCCCAGGCAGAGACGGCACAAAGGGATGTTGGGAGGGAGTTCCAGCAAGCGGGGCTGAAGGCTCTGCCACCAGTGGTGGGATGGAGGGACTAAGTACCTTGTAGTTAACCGGTATAGGAAGATCAAAGGACTTGGGTGGGAGAATTGGGTTGGAATTGATGATATGAAGGGATTTGAAGGTCATAATGATTTTGGTACCTGGAGACAATCTGGGTGTAATGGATGTGTGGATCTTGATGCTGAGGGGATAAAGGCTGCAGAATTTAGGATCAGTTGGAGTTTGTGCAGGGTGAAGCTAAGGAAATTGGCGAGGAATGCATTGGAGAAGTCTAACCTCAGGTGAGAAAGGATGGAGAAGGTTTTCATGGGACAAGAGGGGAATGTTCTGGAGATAGAAGAGTGTTATTTTGTCAAGTTGATGGTTTGAAGCAGAGGTGGGAATCAAACGGGGTGACAAGCTTCCACAGTGACGAGTTTAGCCAGAGAGCAGTCAGGGAGATTGATGGAGTTGGAGTCAGAGGCAATAAGTGCTGTTGAGAGGCAAAAAAAAGGCTTTAGTTCTGTTGACATTCAGCTGAAGGAAATTGAGGTTCAAGTCTGATAGGCAATTAGTGCCGCAAAAGGTCTGCTCAGCACTAGGTTTTAACTTCAGTTTCACATAACTGCCACCAGCTGTCTGTCGTACCCAACTATGAATTGGGTAACTTGGCCTTTCAGTAACATCTGGGTAACATAGTTGTTATTGCAAACAGACTCAGACGCAAACAGGAGGTCACACTTCTGTTTATTTTAATATAGACAAACAAATGTAACCAGCAGTGAGACCTAACACCCAAATACAAGAGAAAGCCTGGTCAAAATATAAAATGTTTAGTTTGTTTTTCCCAAAACTCCCTCCAAACAGCAGCAGGATCTCAGATCGGAGTGTATCTCTTTCTCCAACAGCAACTGCAGTTGCCTCTCCCTGACCTGCCTCCAGCAGCACCTTATATTGCTCCCAAAAACATCATCTGTGGCACAAGTCGCTCCCCATATTTGAAGTGTCCTTATGGGGTGGGGCACTTAATAATATCTTTGTGATTCATATAGTGCTTCATCATGTCTGTGAGATGTTTCAAAGCACTTCAAAGAATATATCGTAAAGTGGAGTGACTGTGTATTTTTGTGGGAGAAAAGCAGCAGCCAATTACGCGCAGCAGTGTCCTACAAACAGATGTGGATTGAGCAACCAAATTATTATTTTTTTTGGAGGGATTATTACCCCTGGAAAGCGATCCGCAAATCAACTAACAGCTGCCAAAACTTTAACACTTTAGAATTTTAATACTTAATAGCCCCCCACCCCATTTCCCAAACAGTTGAGATTTATACCGTGCTTAGCTCCTTCCCGCCTATCATGTATCGATCATGTGATTTTGTTGTGAACTATGCAGTTTGTCCCTGTTCCCTAATCTAACGACCCTCATCTTCGACCGTGCCTTCAGTTACCCTCTTAACCCCAATCTGCCTGCCCTCCATCCCTCCTGATCCCAACCTCCAGCTCAGAAATCACATCCTTGACTCTCCAGTGCTTTGGCACATCCTCCCAATGTGAAAGGTGCTATACAACTGTTGTTGTGATTACTTTGGATTTACTGGTGGAGAATTTTGAAATTACTGCTGGGGAATTCCTAGGAACTGGTGGTGAATTTCCCCACCACTTTATGTTGAAACAAACCTAGAAGGAAGTAATCAACTCATCTCTCTTTACCTGATATAATCACTGCCTTTTACAAATCTATGCCAGCTGCCAATCACCCATGCCTCTCTGCGTGATGGAGGGCATCTGTCTGTTGATGTGTGAAGGAGCTGGGTTGTGGCTGGACTGTGCAGGGCACTGGCCACATGTGTGTGCTGTGACATACTGGGCTGTGAACAATCCTGTTGTTGGCCTGGTTTGACATAAGACCACATTCGTTCATTTGCTTCATGGCTGCGAGGCATTACTGACAGCTAAATTCACCTACCAAAATACACTATGACCACGTATTACAGTGAATCCTCTGACACTTCCTCTTGATATGAAATGTGGTGTATCAAATGCAAATGGAGGATTGTGAAACACAGGGCCTCGGATAGCAGTAGAGGCAAAATCAATTGGAAAGTTTAAAACAGCTTCACTTATATAGCGTCTTTCATGTGGTATAAACATCTTAAAGTGCATTTACTAGGGAAATAGAGTTGGCAAGTACGAATATGACAGGAATGTGTAGAAAAGATGGGAAATGGGACTTTTCATTGGAAACTGGCAGAGCAGACTGAATGATCACTGCTATTCTTGTGTGAGTAACAAAATAGCAAGTTTGCTTTTTAAAAGCAATACGTGTGAAGTGACCGTTGTAAAACACCTGCTTGTAGCGTATGTAGGAAGTCAGCAAGGACATTATTACCCTCTGACCTTGCGACAGTCACAGAGCAAACTCTAACCCAGAAGTGCAGTCACTTTTTCCACTGCAGAAATTACCGGAAACAGTCTTGAATTCTAAGAAGCTGAGTGAGGATTGGTGCAGAGCTGGGGTTTGTGGTCAGCACAGACTCTGTGGGTTCAGCTTATGACCACATCGATGGGCCATGCTGAAACAGGCTGTGCCACTGCAACAGGAGCCTGAGCACTGTAATGCAGCATCAATGACATCCATGGTGCCAGAGAGCTGTTCCACAGCAATGTGTAGAGTTAGCAGTGGCAATGCTCAGCTGGGTAACAATGCATGGTTCAAGAAGTGGGGGAAATGTGGCTATTTCAGCTGCAAAATGTTGGTTTCGAAAGTACTGTTAATCGTAGAGTTAACCACTCTTAAAACTTGAACATTTGAGCAGCTTTCTTAAATTCACACTTAATTTGGAAGCTCAAACTGGTTTTCAAATTTTTGAGAACGCTCCACAATTCATTTTGTCCCTGTTCAGGGAGGAATGGAGGGCAGGCAGGTTGGGGGGTTTGAGGGTGACTGAAGGAGAGGAGGGTCGTTAGTTCAGGGAACAAAGTAAAAAGCTGAAGAGATCTGACATACAGTTTGAGACGGGTTCCAACGCATTCAGAAAATAAACTGGCTTAAGTAATGTTTGGAAAATAATTCTTCCTGTTTTATACAAAAGAGTGTCCAAGAAACACAAACAACTCAGATTTCTTGTTCTTCAACAATATTTATTTTTCTCTGGCGGAGTCTGCTCAGACACCAGTATCACCTGTCCCAGTTAAGGGGACATCACAATTTACACTCTCATAGATGCTGTCAATGCTACATGATGTGTTACAGGGACAGCACAGGCCTGGCTGCTGCTCAGGGCAGCCGTCAGTGTGGCTCCATCTCCTCCTCTACAGCTCTCTCACCACCATGCACACTGGTCACTACATGGGGAGACTGGCCCATGTCTGTCAGGTCAAGATGACTCGAGCATGTTGCATCAGACAATGTCAGATATTTTTTAACCCTTCCCCTCTCTCGCACATCAGCCAGCAGCCCAATTGTGAATAAAGGAAAATCATTTAGCACGTGCACGTGAGTATAGCAGCACAGACTGCAGTGTGTGATCTGATTCAGTCAAGTGCTCAAAGAATGCTAGTAAATGTAGTTATAGCAAAAGTAAATGAGCAAAGAAATTAAATCTGCGAGTAACAGATACTTGCAAATCTTAGAACAGTAAAGTACAGAAGAGAAAAAGTAGCAGATGCTTAATTTTGCAGTGTTGCCTAATGTCCAGCTAATTTCATTAATAATCCCAATACAATTGTGTGACTACCATAACGCAATTTAAAATAATTCACTTTACATTCAGAAATGAAATCAAATCCCATTTAGTTATCCTAAGGGAGACATCCAAGGCTGTGCCTTGTAGCCTCAGGCTAGAAAAACAAGCTTCAAGTGACATGCAACCCTCGACCTATTTGAAGACTGTTCAAATATGTATCAAGTAAAATCACACTACCTAGGGTATCAGCAAGCAAATTCAAATCCATCTTCTTATTTTGAATTGCATTATTATCCACTGAAATAAAAGATGGCTGGTATTGAATAGCAGCATTTCACATTCAGGGACACTTAACACTACAGTACTGCTGCCAACTCGCTCCGTGAAGATCCACGTTCATTCCAAAGTAGAAGCTACAGCACAAGGGCCACACATCACCTAGAGACGAAGCAAAGGAATTGGTTATAGGAAATACTGTAGTTCGGGTGATAACCTGATATCCTCACTGCATTTACATCCCCTCTATTTGAATATCATGCTGATCCACATAAGGTGTAACAGGCAGTCATGGAATATGAGTTATGCTGAATATGCTGCATTAATCTACCAATAGTAAGGCAATGGGTTTGGCAAGATGTTCCTTTGGAAGTAAGTACTTACCTCAGTCTGAGCCAAATCTAGTCAGAAGAATGTAGCTTCTCGGATTGAAGCGCATCATCGCTGCAAAAGGCAAAAGAGAGGACCCAGATTTATAACACAGAAATAAAAATAAACCAAGATGATCAAAAGCTAACACTTCACTCAAACGTTCTAACTTTATCTTGAACTGATCAAATTGGTTGGATATGCTTTCATTGAAGTTACAGTTTGCTTTCTCTGATTGCTCTCTCCAGCAAGGCTTTGTCAGATAGTGGGGAAGTGAAGTCCATGGACTTGTTCTCACACACTAGTAGAGTGGTTATAAGATTGTTTTATGAAACAGACACTAAGTGGTAGAAAATAGCTTACAGAAATCAGGCTTCAAAATTAAGACTATCTAAAAATCTACCAAATTCTAGAAGCTTTCATTCAAGAGCTGGCAAGTATAATACCTGCGTGGCAGCTGTGATTACACATTCAGAGCTGGAATCCCTTACTTTGTCTTATTTTCAATCCATGAAGTAGGTGGTGTAACACGTCTAGCTCGAATTACTTCAGGCCGATCCCTGTTGTGATCCACCGTCTCCTGGATTTCTAGCTCTGGGAAAAAAATGGAACAACATTGTTGATTCCTACATTTCCCAAAGAAACTAACAAGTGAGCAGTGTGGAATAATACATTGTCTTGTACAAAGCTGCTTGGTTACTTGGTGGGGGCAGAGTTTTCCATATTCTTTGATTGACTTTTAATTGGCATATTCAGGGGGATCCCATGGATGTTTACTTAGAGGTCAAAAATAAGATTGGTATCAGAGTGGAATTTTTTGGGGTCAGTTTGAAACCCACCAGAGATATTTTAATTAACGTAAGGAATTGGGGATGTTAACATCCAAATTTGTTCCTATTAACCAATGCCACTATTCCTTAATTATCACTTACCTGTAATCAGGTACCTGCAATTTGTTTGCCTACAAATACAGTCACTACACTTACAGTAAATCTGTGAAATATTTTTGAGATGTCCTCCCAATGTGAAAGATACTTTATCAAAAGCAAGGATTATTTTATTATTATTAATTAATAATTAAGCTCTCGTAGCCTCTGATCTCACACAGATGGTTCCACATCAGCTGCTTGGGGGAAAAAAGAAAATGGATTTTATAAAGTCAGTTTCCTGATGAAAGCTTTTGAAACAAGGTTATAATTCTAAATACAGTGAGGAGTTTTAACTGAGAATAAAGGAATCACATTAAAATTCTAATCCAAAGTGTAGGATTATTTATTTTTTACTTTGGGATTGGGGAAATGGAGAACAACAACATTATATTTGTATAGCGCCTTTCACGTCGGGAGGACGTCCCAAGGCGCTAACGAGTGAGCTTTGTAGAAGGGTGAGCTTAAAATAGAGGTGTACGATGTGATTGTCTCCAGTAAGTGATCGGGTTTTTAGACTGTACATGGAGGCTGAGTAAGTAAGAAAATGTAATCTTAGCAGGCCTCATTTCTGCTGCTGGCAAACATATAAATAGTGTTGAATAAATGCTGTACTTCATTCTTTACTGCTACTCAGCATGTGCTCCATTTTTCAGTTAGAGGGGCACACAAACCTCTGCTGCACTCTACTGGTTAAATTACTTCCATTGTAGACATAAACACAAAGTACACAGCAATAGACCATGGGCAGCAATCGTAAAACACGACATTTATGCAAATGAGCAGGAGTTGAAATAAGTAACGGACGGTAAAGCACAAGGAAAAAAAACACGAGTATCTAACAGCAACTTATACAACAAAACAAGATTTGATAATGGGGTTGAATCTGAGACTGTCAAAAACTGGATTTGTTGAGTTAATTACAACTTTGTGAATATCACAACACGGTTGATCTCAAATCCCAACAAAGTTCTACAAAAAAGACTGGCAAGGAATCAACTTTTGGATTTTCAGTTGGAAGATTTATCTGAGACTCTTGTTTTATAGCTTATTATGGAGTTTGTGCTCCACATATTCCTTCTGCCCTTGCTCTTAATTTAACTGCTCTTGCATAACTTGAATAAAAGGTGTCCTAAAAGCTAGAATAACTTTACTAATAATTTAGAAATTCTATATCTTTTTAAGGCTTGATTTTTGAGTTAATCCGCTAGATTCTGCACTGCTGTAGTGTTTATTTGAACATACCAATGTGCTCCGTGAAGTTCTCCGCATTCGGTACAGGTGGACGCTCGAACACTTTTCCCTACAAAAAAAAAGGCTGGAGATTATGCTTTGATTTATTGCAGAACAAGCTTTGAAATTCACAGCACTTCAATTACCATCCAGTAGAGAAAATAGGCTGACAATTCAGGTGTATAAGTTCTGATAAGTGTCAGAACTGAAATGGTGGGTATATTTTCCCATTCCCTGCTATAGATTTCCACATTTGTTATGGTTCAGCTCTGAACAGTTATTACTTCAATTGGTGAACACTGAGGAGTATAGACCAGTTGCAGGGCTGATTTGCTTGTTATGTTCAGGCTTAATGGGTTTGACAAGATAATAAGCAACCTTTTCCCCTAGTGGATCAAACAGTGCTAAAGGTTATGACCTTAATGCTAAACTGATTAGGACTGAGGCAAGGGTGATTTTTTTCTTGCAGAGAATTTGGCCCAGAAAGCCATTGTTGAGACACTGATTGAGGGATACAAGGAGATAGCTAGATATTTGGAAAGTACAACTATTAAATGAGGTGGGAAAAAGGGACAGAGGGGTTGGAGGAAGGTATAGTTTGTAGTGCCATGAAATGTACAATGCAGAACAGAATCAATGGGCCAAATGGTCTTCCCTTCCTAATTTTTTTATGTGCCCTATTTTAAATGCCCTACATCATACAGAAATACATAGTTCAAGTTTTCTACTAACAGAATATACTAAATTTTAATCGCTGCATTCATTCCATCTCTCTCCCCAATCTGAATATTTCAAGCTCTCCTCACACCATAATAAAACTCCATTACAGGTGGTACAGTCATCATAGACACAGAAGGCTATTCAGCCTGTCAAGCCTGTTTAATCATTCGATTACAGATCTTTTAATCAGAGTGCATAGTTCTATATGAAAATCTAAAAACAAACCTCAGACTGGTATATATCCTGAAGAGAAATCTTATATTACAGCCATTAGCTGATTTGATTGGAGTGATTGAAGGGATACAATTTCCGCTCTATTGAACTACTCCAATCATGTCTGTACATCAGTTACTATTTATGAAATAAGATTAGTTCTTCAAGGGAGATTATGAAACCATATTTGTATCTGACAGGAAGAGATGGAGGAGCAGCACCTTGTATTGGACAAACATTGCCCTTCTACTCAGCTCTTCTCATCACACAATCTGTGAGGTAACATGAAGCTTCCAAACATGTTTTCAATACTAAAGCTAGACCAGGCACATTTTCAAAACTAAAACACAGGAAAGTTATTCACAGAAGGGAACTGCTGGCCCATCATATCTGGACCACTACTGCCTGTTTTACTAAATCACTTTTTTTTCTAATCCCACTGTGAAGAATTTCCCCATACTTAATGTTTTAATAAACGTAACTCCTTTTGAGATACTTTAATTGTTAATGTCCTGCCTTGCCCAAACTTGGTTTGAAGTGGTTCGTTGTGACAGCTAATTACAGGGTTTGGCCTTTGGTACAACCGTTGCTTGATACTGACATGATCGCCTGGAGTTGGCCAATATCCTGAGCTTGCTAGGGTTTCAAAATCAGTTTAGTCATCACAGAAAATAGGTCTGCATTCCTGTGGGAGCTTAACTGTAACCGAAAACCTTCTATCCAGAAATGGACATGAAGCATACTTGCAACCCAGAGAAGTTAATCAAACACAGCTAAGTGAAGCTAAGTCACCCCAACACAATGGAGCTGCACACTGGGATAAACAGCACAGAGTGGGAGAAAATATCCCGAGTATTTAAAATACTACAGCTTCAGTACATCCCTGTACCAATTTTTAAACAGAAAATGCAAGAAAATCACACAATGGTTGATAGCATAATAGACAAATGTTCAACACCATGAGCCAAAGGTCTTACAGTTTGTTCTAGGTTTAAAGGTTGTGGCATAATCAACAATTTCCTCAGCTAGCAAGAAGACCCTCGTGTTTATCATACAGACTGTCCCAGAGCGTTAGTCAAAGGATTCAGTGAACATACGAATTCAGGAAAGAACAGGGAAGTAGGACTAGAGCAAATAGGTCCAGTAAGGATTACCAGAACCCAGATACGATGAACTGAATGGCTTCCTTCAGTGCTGTGAGTAGCTTGGTAATGAGGCAACCTACTACCCAAGGCCACTTATTCTTTTCCATTCGAATCTGATGGTGACCTCAGACTGCTAATACAGGCAAAGGCTACTTTTTTAGAAACAATATAAGAGCTAGGGAGAGGGTATAGCACAGATTTACGAGAAAGTGTGAACACACGTTCATATATCCATAGTTTGCTTTATACCTGATTGGCATGCAGAGAAGGAAGACCAGTCAGCCTGGCTCAACAATAGGACTTGGAGGGGCAGACCAGTCACTGGGTAGGTCAGAGTTTCTTCCCACTTTGCTCTTTCCCACTTTGCTCTATTAATCCTGAAAGCCAAAGGCCTAATGGGTAGGGTGTGTGACAAATGTGAACCATGAGTATCCAAATCAGAGTATCCAAATCAAATTGAGGGTTCCACATATGCAATCTATCTGTCAGCTGGTAAATTTTCCTACAATTGGTTGTCATACAGAAGAAATACACTAGAATTTACCTGCTCAAATTCTGGCAAAGGTTGTTGGACTGATCTTGTCTGCCACACAGTGACATCCTGCAGCTTCTGAGGGCTCTCACTGTCTGAGGGATTAGCAGAAATCCCACTGTTTAATGGTTTCCATCCATGCATGTTGTCCAACTTTCTCTTCACAGGCTCACCACTTTCTTCTAGATTCTCTACACTGTTCCTCTTATATAATAGATTTACTAAAATATTTCTGCTGGGATGCAGCTGCCCTTTATTATGAAACTCTGCATCATAAAAACGATTTCTCTCTCTAGATGCTCTAGATGAGGAAAGTGTAGGTGACCCACTCATAATGGGCAAGTTTCCATCAGGCTCCATTAAACGGTTCTGGGAATTCCCTCCTGCAACTTCCCTGCTGCTATCCAGCATTCTCAAAGTATGTTGACTGTTCAGAGCAGAAAGCAATGTATCAGGTTTGAGGTTTGTATTTACTAAACCCGTAGTCATTCTTGCAATATAAGTGGAATTGACAGAGTCTCTTTCTTCTCTATCTTTACAACTGGATTCACTCGAACTGGAGTCATTGAGAAAGGAAAGGACACTCTCATCGCTGCCTGAAAATTCTTCACCTGATGTAAATCTGCTGCTCTGAGTGAGGAATGAAGGTGTTGAGCTAAGCTCATCTGTACCTGAGGAAGTATCATCTTGCTCTGTGCATTGGCTGGAACATAAAGGCATTGTTGAGCATTTAATGGTCCTCTGGGGTGTTAATATACAAGTGTTATCCATTGAAGTTTCTAAATCACTAACTCTTTGCCTGATCTGATCCTCAGAATGCTTAAGGTTGTCAAAACACAAACTTCCATTACCATCTGGGCTTATGCCAATCGAAGAGATGACTTGGCGCCCACTTCCACACTGTTTTTCTTTGTCTGAGGATAAAGACAACTTCAGATCTATGTTGGTTTCACTAGCTTTACTCCCACTGGCTGAATCAGGGGACGTTGACAATTTAGAGAATTGTGGCAGCTGAGTGGTGGAGTGAATTCCCTTTGTAGTGTTGCTTTCTAATTTGTCACTGTCCAGCTGATTGATTTGCTGAAATCTTTGCACTGAACTATCTGACTGGCTCCCATCAGATTCCTGTAGGCACAGGGAGCTGCTACTTGACTGCAGTGCTGAGTAAGGCTCCCCTCTTTCTGGGCTGTCCATAATGTGAGCTAGCTGTAAAAGTGAGTCAGATTCATTAGCAAATCAGTGGTTACAACACTTGCACTGAGCTAAACCTCCAGCCTCTAATCAATCCTATTTTACAAGACAGATTACCTGCATTGTAAAGTATTTATTGTACAAAATGAGGCAATCTCTACAACCACTAAGACAAGCATTTCTATAAAGAAGGTAATCAAGCTTTATTCTTCATTTCAGCATCCTCAAATCCATAAAATAAGCTCACAAAGTCATGTTGTTCCAATCCTTGCAATGTATTGAGGCTGCCAAAATGAAAATTGCTATAATTGGGAAGTCCAGAGGGAATGCTTTCCATTCTTCCTTGTAAGACACAACAACACTGGACTGGATCAGCAGTGAGGAGCCACGTCGCAGACTGCCAGCAACATGAGGATTCCTTGCCATGGGTAAAATATTAAATGTTATTTTTTCCTCTTTGGAAAATTCACACGAAGATCTTGTATTTGTATAGCTTAAAGGTGCTAACCCTCTGTAAACTATACAAACACAAGCATCTTCAGTATAGAGCACATCGATTCAGAAGACATCTACAATAGTATTACTGGATTCCTAATGGGATGCTAAAGGCATTGAATATCTTCCAGTTAAATCATTGACATTTACTCAACTTTTTCCCTGATAGTTTGTACAGTATGTGAAAAATGTGAATCCCTCCCACTCATAGGCTAAACTTTAAGGTCACCACTGAGTCTATGAGGATTTTCAAGACTCTGGTGTTATCTAGAAAATTATTAAGAATTTGGAATGGAAGCATGCAAGGTTGGAATTGGATTAGATTAGGTGGCACATAACACCAGCAGAGACTTCATGAGCTAAATTGGCCGTTTCTTTATTGTAACGTTCTATGTATGATTTTATGAAATGAACATCTACTAGACAACTGGGCAATAGGGGATAGACCAAGAATCCTTCAAGAAATAGATGACACTTTGACTGATATACAGAATCAAAGAACGTAACAGTACAGAAATTGGTGAACAACATCTTGCATCAATTCAGAAGCTCAGCATGAAATACCAGTGTTGAAGCTCCATTTCTCAGTGCTCTTCTTACAAAACATCTTACCAGAAAGTATAATTGTTTAAAACTCAACCTTTTATATGCTAAAGTTGGAAAGTATAATTGAAGCCAATTTGCTGAAGGAGGATATAAGACCATGCACTAGGTATGGGAAGACTTGGTCTTTCCTTTCCCCCTCCCTAGTTATAATTTTTCCTAGCTATTAGAAGGATCAAATTCATAAGACAATACAGTTCCCTCCAAACGACCGCTGTCTACTAATTTGAGAGAAGGAAAAATTAATGATGGAAATACTATTAATGGTCCCTAGAGCACTTCTAGTGATCAACCCCTTTCTCCTCACTAATATTGTATTTCCAATGAGCTTCAAATATGATCCGGGTGTCAGGTCAAAACTCTGATACCGGTTTGGAAGTGATCACTTTTTCGCTAAATAAGTTTAGCTGTGCTGAGTTAGATTCCCTGATGTTCAAGGCAAGCTTCCTTTTTATACTTTTATAATAATAATAATCCTTGCATTTGATATAGCACCTTTCACGTCGGGAGGACGTCCCAAAGCGCTTCACAGAACACACTGTAAAGTGAATTGACTGTATATTTGTGGGCGAACGAGGCAGCCAATTGCGCACAGCAATGTCCCACAAACAGTCGTAGATTGAAAATGACCAATTTATTATTGTTTTTGGTTTTGGAGGATTATTATTAGGCTCTGTGTGGAGTAAGGAAACTTGCCCAAGGTTTCGCCCTCTGCCTGGAATTGAACTCAGGTCTCTCACTTGCAAAGCGAGTGCTCTAACCACTGAGCTATAGGACTCCACAATAGTTATAGTTGCAACTCCAGTAGCAAAACACATACACAAGCAATTTGACTCCAATTCAATTCCAACCTGAGCTGTTCAAAGTCATTGGGAATGTAGAAATGCAAGTCTCATACATTTCCCTCCTCCCCTGCAGTTTCTCAATAGTCTTTGCTCATCTTAATGGCTGGTTTACTTAACGCTTCCTGTTTACCTTTCTCTTATTTAAATCAGTTCTTTCTAAAACGGAATTGTTGGACCTGTCAGTTAAACTTTCTTCATCCCAGTAGAGGTGATAGTACTGCTTGTCTGCTCCCTCACACTGAAGTGAACCGAGTTCCTCATCCTCCACCTCAAAATCCCAGTCCTCTGTGACTCGGGTCTGATTCATTATCTCAGCTTTCGTCAATGGAAGAATCATAAGTGTAACGGCAACATTCTTATCCTGCAAACAGATGAAGCTACACATTTAGAATTGAAGCAAATATACTGTATTGTTCTAACTTATGCTAACTGATACTATCCCCACTCTTCATTCACTCTCTTCTTACACAGTGATGTACTAATTTATCTTTTTACATTGAAGATTTGTCCATTTCCAAGCATAATAAGTCTAAGAACAGAGGTTATTTTAAATTGGGCTACAATGTTCACAGCTGGTGGAAAAAGAGTGGCCAAACTGGAAGTCAGTGGAAGAAATCCCTGGGAGTGCCATACATTTCAATTCCCTGTGTCAGACAGTGTCACATGGAGCAACAGAAAAGATTTTCATTAAAAACACAAAAGATTGGGAATCAGATTTTGGATAAAAGCTTGATGTATGAAATGGCTTATTTGGACCACCGAGTTCTCTCCCACACACTCATTACTCCCACACCTCACAAAACTTTAACTTCCAGTACCTCTGAAAATCAAGTTTAAGATTTTGTCCTGGTCGTTGGAGCTCTTTCCCCAAATCTCTTTGTATTGCTCTTACTTTATCTGGCTTTAAAACATATCGCTAATACCTGTGCTTTGGTCAACATTTTCAAATTCCTCTTTCTTTCCTCCCTTTTGAGGATCTCCACCATCTTTGAGAAGTGCTTTAAGAGGTTCATCCTTAGCGAAAGGGCTCTATATAAGCGAAAGTTATTTTCTTCAATTCCCTCCATGATCTTCCTCCATCCTACTTGTGTAATATTCTCTAGCCATCAATTCCAGCTCTGCTCTTCCAACTGGCCTATTGCTCATTATTATTATTCCCTACTCCCTTCGCTCTACCAGTAACTGAGACTTCAACTACCATGCATGCCCCTGTCCTCATTTGTCAATCACTTTGAAATATTCTTTTCTATTTCTTTTACATGAAAGTCTCCACATAAGCCTTAGTTGTATATGATAAACGGCTGATTAAGAGCATGTGAAGACTGTAACATAATCTTTTGGTTGTAGTTCTTGTCGTCTGCACTTCAAAATCCCTTGATTATGTTACAGTCTCACAACATTCACAACCAACTGCAACTCTAAGTTTAGCACAGTGGGGTCTGTTTCAATACTTAGTTTTTACCCTGTGCCAAATCAGACTCTGGTATTTTGAAGCTCACAATACAATAACAGCTTACATTTATATAGCACTACTCACGCTGGGTTGCATCCCAGAGCGCTCCAGAAACGCCATCATAGACCATTTCAGTAATGCATTCAGTCCATCATTCCCAAGCCATTTTGTTTCCCCACTGAAGCTTTATAACTTTTTTCTAATATAACAGTCAAATCAAATACAACACATGGAACTGTTTTAAATGGCATTCTGGATGATTCAATTTTGAATCAAAGGAATAATTTCCCCTATCTTGACTTTTTCAGGATTGGAAGTCCACTGTCCAGATGTTTTACGGAGAGAAAATTAAATTTGACTGATCAGCAGTCAGCCACTCAAGTAATCATCACTCCATACAACAACACAACTGCAAATTTCTTTGCAATGGCTAGCACTATTACAAAACATACATTTGGTAGCCACTTATAATTCCTACTCTAGAATGTCAAGCAGCATCAATGATGACAGATATGGGAAAGCAGGTGTACTAAGCTATCAAAATAATCTAATGGAATCCTAAGAGGAATCTGGGAACCCTTGCAATATTATGGGTACATTTGGAAGAATTACCTGCATCACATCTACTGCATCATATTATATTGATCTTACCTTCGACCTGGCCATAAGCTCTTTAAATGCCCTCCTCACCTGAAAGCAGGGCATTTTGAAGGCACCGACACCATTAATCTGCTGTCACCTAGAGTCAGGTCCTCTATCTTCAGCGACACTGTGCAATGTGTCGTTGCCCCCAAAGATATGGCAGTAGAAATTTGCTTTGTTTATTGCTGCTTCACACTTAAGGTGTGCGCTGAGTCAATTAACACCTCTAATTCTGATTCAGGTTCCCGCTTGGGAAATTGTATCCATTCTACAGCGTACTTGTGTTTCATATTCTTACTTCCTATATATAGAAGCTTGCATTCATCTGCATCGATACCATCTCTTTGGGGAAATGACACATCACCTCTCCAATGTCACATGAAGTGGACTTTGTCATGAACCAGGTAACCCTCACTAAATCCACTGGTCTGAACTGTAAAGTCCAAATATTGCATTTGAATTCACTGGAATAGACTGTAGTTGCAAGAGATGAAGTGAGAGGGAAAGAGATGGAAGTACCCTTCCCATTTAGTCAGGCTCTAACACTGCTGAAACGCTCCCCTACGTGGAGGGCCCTACATAAGTGCAAGTTGTTGTCGTTAGTATTCAGTTTACACAAAAAAAGTGTTGCTTTCCTGACTGAAGACATTTTACTGGCAGATGTCTGGTAAGTGCTGCAAATAGAAGAGTCCAACTCTTGGCATAGGCTGCAGTTAATCCAGTGCGATCACTTATAGCAACTACTCACTTACTGCATGAGTCAATAAGTTTTTTTTTAAAAAAAAGACTAATGTCGGATACCAAGACTGTGTAACGCGAGTACAGGACGGGATTGGAATAAGGTGTGTGAAACACAATTGTTTTAACTTAAGTTTAACCCATAGTAATTTTGTCGCCGCCTTGTCTGGGCGCCCATGACCTCACCGAGTGCATCAAACCTCAGAGGAAATAACTTTTTTTTTTAAACAGTTCGACGACCGATGCGTTTGGCCAACGAAACCCGGTCCAGGGCAGCCCTTAAAAAGTCATATCAAATCAGTCCTCTCTCCCTCCATCGTCAGTTGTGTTCCCAAAGTGAAAGCAGTAACAACACGCCAGAACAGATCTCAATTTCAACGACCGTTCGCACTTCATCACTTCCTCCAAAGGAGAAGAGGCGAAGGTGAACTCAAATAAATTCAGGTCCAATTAAACGGATTTATTTCACGAATCGCCACGTTTCGACAGTCGGTTCGTACAACTGCGCCTTTGCGCCCACCGGCCGTGTGGCTGCACTGTGGACCACCAGAGGATCCCCAGTCATATCCGAAAGCAAATCAACGGGGTCACAGAACATGAGGGCTCTCCCCCCGCCATACCCACCCCACTCAGCGCGGCCTTGCCGACAGGCCAGACCGCGCCCGGTACCTGGGCTCTGGGGTGGCTCCTGGGGTTGGCCTCCCCCCTCCTGTCACGCTGGGGTTGCTCCTCAGAGGCCGAGCACGACGCTGGACTGTCGGACGTGGGTGTCTCGGAGCTCAACACGGCTCCCAGCCTCTCCAGCGACTTCTCGATGTCTTCCAGGGTCAGCTCCAGATAGCGGGCGGCCGTTTGGGGCTCGGCGCGGCTGGGGCTCGAGGGCTCCTGGCTCCGCTCACTGACCTTACCGATGCTCTGGCATTCCGGGTCAGGCTTCCTGAGAGACAGGATGGCCACCATGATAGCGAGGAGGGTGAAGCACAAGGAGACCACCCATACCTCGTCCATCGCTACCGAAGGCAGCGCAGTGCGCGGGCTCTCTGCCCGCACCACGTGCCTCCCAACCTGCAGCACCTGACTCCACTCGCCCCACCCACACACGCCGCGGCAGCCAACCAATCACACTCACCTGACCCCGTCCGCAGCCAATCATGTGCCAGTACCTCGACGTCCGCCTCGCCATCGCCTGGCGTCCGCTCAGGAGGCGGCGCGCGCCGCGTGCACTGGCCAACCGCCGAGCCTCGCGCTGCCTTCAAACTGCGCGCAGGCGCACTCGGTCCCCGGTCGGCGTTCACACCCGGCGTGGCGGAGGGGCTTCCGGGGGTGTGACGCCGTGTTCTCGGGGCTCTCTGCAGCAGTGACATAAGTGAGCTGCCCCCAACGACAACAACAACAACAACCACGACGACGCTCTCGGGCCTCTCCGTGTCGGGAGGACGTCCCAATGCACAGATGTAGGTGGGTGGGTGGGGAGCAAGAACAACATGGAGGGCTTTGAAGGTGAGGACCAGGACCTTGAGCTGTATCCTGTGTGTGAAGTCAGGCGAGGGCGGGGGTGATAGGGCCGCAGAGCCTGGCGCCGGAGAGGACACGGGCTGCACCATTCTGGATGAGGAGGCCAACGAGCAAAGGGGTTCGCAAAAGTCAAGCCGCCAATGTTATGGATTTTGGTGGCCTGCGGTGTGAGGCAGCGGCGGAGCCGGGAGATGCCGCGGAGGTGGGGGGAAAGGCAGAGTGGGTAATGGCATGGATGTGGGGTAGAAAAGGGGGATCAGGGGAGCTTTGGTCTTGTTGACTTTCAACTGATGAAGATTAGCTCTCATCCAGGCCTTGGTGTCTGATAGACATTCTGTCAGTGGTCCTGGAGTCAAGGGTGGAGGAGGCAGAGAGTTACAGTTGGATGTCATCATGTGGACATGTGGAAGTTGACCCCCTATCTGGAGATGATGTCACCAAGAGGGAGCATATAGATATCGAAGAGGAGGTGACCAAGGACAGAGTCATGAGGAATGCCACAGGAGGTGGTGCGGTGGCTAGAGGAGAAACCGTTTTGGAGATGACGTGGAAGCAATGTGAGAGGGAAGATCTGAACCAGTCAAGGACAGAGCCGTTGCAGGTTGAGGTGAGAGGAGAGGCGATGGATGAGGATAGAGTGGTCAATGGTGTCGAAGGCAGCAGAGAGGACGAGGAGGCAGTGGGAGCCCTGGTCGCAGATGGACAGAATGTAATTTGTCATTTTGACCAGGGCTGTTTCTGTGCTGTGGGCGGCACGGAACCCGATTGGAAGGGTTCGTGAAGGGAGTGGCGGGAGAGGAAGGAGCGAAGCTGGGAATCAACAACTTGTTTCAGACCTTGGAAAGGAAAGGGAGTTTGGATATGGGGTGAATAGTTTGAGAGCAGTGATGGGTCCAGGGAGGGTATTTTAAGGATAGGAGTGATGACGGACGTTTTTAATGGGGTGGAAACATTACCAGTGGACAGGGAGAGGTTTATGATGTCTGTGAGTAGAGGGGCAAGGAGGTGGAGCTGAGAGGTAAGGAGAGGGGTAGGAATGGGGTCGAGGGAGCAAGTGGTCAGTTTTATGCGGGTATAGTGGTGGTGAGAGAGGAGTGGGAG